CAGGACAGCTAACTGGATTTTATTCCAGGTGCACCATGGGCTCTGCGTCACAGCTAGGGAAAGCACCAGCCTGAATAGGGAGAGCTCAGAGATTGGAGAAGTCTCAAGGGACACAGCAGCTATCTGTGCACAGGGAAGGAGTTGTAGGAAAGCCAGGAAAATCCAAGTAAACAGTACAAAACCTCCTTGGTGTAAGCAGCTGCAAGAAATATTCAGATTAACCAGGAGGAAAAACTTTCCAAGACAAGAAAAGCAAGACATGAGGGGAAAAAAAAATCTCCTGGGGGCTTGTGGAGGCTCCCTCCATCTTTGGAGGTCTTAAAGCAGAGATTAGGGAGAGATCTGCCAGGAATGATCCTGCCTGGGGGCAGCCAGAGAGCAGATGATGTGTCTGTCAGCTCTCTGCCTCCAAAAGCGAGGCTTGCGCTTCTCCTGCTCTTCCTGCTCTTCTCCTGGATGAGCACGGCATGTTTGGGACCCTCCTTGGTGGTCTCCTAGCAGGGCTCCTAAAAATCCCCCTGGAAAGAGCTGAAATCCTAGAAAATGGGTGGGTTTTGGCTAAGGCTTGCTTTAGAGAGGGAGGGGAAGATGCTCAGGGGTTTTTCTCTCCCCTTCTGTTCCCGCTCCGCAGCAGCGACTGTTTTCTGGTCTGATCTCCTGGCAGCTCCGCGTGTCTGAGGGATGAGGTCATGCTCACTCACCCACAGCCTGCCCTGCTCCTGCTCCCATCCCTCCAGCTTGGGGAGCAGGGGGGGATTGCACTCCCTGCAGAGGGTCTGGGTCTGTGCACAGTGGGATTTGGGATGTCACCCTCACCAAGCATCACCACAGACCTTCGCCTTGCTCTGGGCATGGATGTGTTGCACCGGGGTGGGGACAAGCATCAGTGCCCTCGCCCGTCTTACCTGTGCCTGGGATGCCAGTCCATCTCTCCCAGTGCTCCTCCTTCTTCCAGTGGCTTTTAAAACCACAGACTAACCCAGTCAGCTGGAAAATGTTTTTTTTTTTCCCCTTCTTCTTCTTTCTTTTATTTTTTTTTTCTCTTTGGACCACTTCTTGCCTGCAATCAGCCCATGGGGAGGAGGAGGCCGGTCGTTGCGCAACCTGAGTGCAGGGACAGCTGTTCCAGAGCCTTTTGGATTAACAAACAGAAGGTTTAAATGTCTGGGAAGAAGAAATGTGGTGACCTGTGCCTGGAAACAGAGCCCTGGCTTCTTGCTTGGGTAGATCCCCAGCTTCTGGCTCATGATATGAACAGAAAAGCCAGTTTAGGTAATTGGTGGAGATTGCCATGACTTTATTAGCACTGATGCCCTCCCCTACAGGAGGTTTGTATGGCTGAGCAAAACAACCAGTGCCCATAAAGACACAAAAATAGGCCCCATTAAGTGTGGTGGGTTTTTTTTGTTTGGTTGGGGTTTTCTGTTTGTTTGTTTTGTTTTGTTTTTTCCTTCTAATAAATTCTTCCAGCCTTTTGTGAAGGTTTTTCCAGCCCTCAAATTCAAGATTAATTGAATTTAGGGGCCAATAGCTGCATCTACTGCTGGTGGTGGGGGATCATTCTGTGTGGAGATTTAGGGCACAGTGCCCAGGCTCCAGCTCCGAGTGGTACCTGGTGGGATGGGCAGGGCTTGGGCACTGCATCACTGCAGGATGGGCAGAAATTGGTACTGCCAGATCAAAATCAGGCTTTGGGAGCACAAGCTGGAGCGTCCTAGAGGAAAAGAAGTCTGATTTGGGGTTTTAAAAGCAGCAGCTGTTGTCAGCTTTCTTCTCTGGAAGCTGGAAAGAAAAACTGCTCCTCCCCAGGCCTAGAGGTCACCTAACAAATGGGAAAGTCCCCAAAAACATGTCCCTGGCAAATCTCAAGGCTGCAGAGAGGAGTGCCTGTTGAATCAGAGAGAATTACAAAGTGTGTTATCCATGGAGGAAATGGGGGCTTCAGATAAAATAGCACTGGAGGAGGGGAAAACAGGAAAAGGCTCCATTTGGACTCCAAAACAGAAAGGAAAAGGTTAAGCCTAAAGTCAAGGAGAAGGGTGGTACAGAGTTAAAGGCAAAGCCAGGAGACAAAGAGGAGAATAGAGGGGCCAAAGCAAAGGGGAAGGACAGGAGGGAAAGGACAAGGAGAAGCTGCCTTGCTGCTTCGCTCTCACCATCCTCTCTTTATGATGAGAACTGGGAAGGAGAAGGTTGGAATGAACAAATTTTTCTTATTTAAATGATGGTGTATTGATAGAGGAAAAAGAAAAATCCACATGCAGCAGTTAATAATTTAGTATTTCCAGCAGGTAAGACCAACAGGTAGGGCCGTGTCACTGCCAGGGTGACAAATGAACATCTCAGCACCCGGGAGCCCAAGAAATCCCTTTGGGGGTTGTCTTTTCACCATGCCCAGCATGTTATAGGTACCCAAAACTACTTATTTATTACCTTTAGAAGGTAATAAATGGGGCAACTTGTGTGTCAGTTCATTGCCATTGTCATCAGCCAGATTTATGCTGCTGAAGCCAATGGTTTGCTAACACCAGGGAGACACTAAAGGTCCAGAGGGACTGGATGAGTTCGTGGATCTTGTGGAGGAAGAAATAGTTTCTGCCTCTAAAAAAAACCAATAAAAATTAAATGATGCTTTGCAGAGCTGTTCTTCACAAGTAAGGCCTGCCCTTTATTATGTGTTTTGTCAAAAATCCAGTTAGTCCCAACAAGGGCTTGTTCCAGCTTTAATGCCCTAACAGGTATGTGTCTGCTGAAATCACCTGAAATGCTGGGAGCACAAATTCTTTTTCTGTCTTTCCTACAAAGAATCTCTTAAGAGATCACTTCTTATGTTTAATTATAGATTGCACGAAGCAACAGAAGCATGCAAAGCCTTAAACTGGGAAATAAAATCAGTTTTTTTCCAACTCGAAATTCTCTAGTTCAAGTCAGCATATTCATCTCTCTGAATGCATCTTGTGGTTTTACCTACAGGGGGTTTTGGGTTGGATTTTGATCACAGAGGCCTCAGCCTCCCAAAACCCAACCGAATCACCCAGCTAGAAGGCAAGACTCTCCACCCTCATCTGCAGTGATGCTGATAGAATTCCTTGTGGATGACACGACTGGAGAGCGATGAAGCACCGCTTCCCTTGGCACTTCACCAGAAATGGCCTCAGCAGGACCGTCTCCAAGAGGTTCCCCATTCCCACATCTGGATCCTTCTTCTGGCACCCAGCAACCCCACCATCCATTCACATCTGCAGTGAAGGTAAGCAGGGCATTCCAAAGGTGGCTTCTCCCAAATGATGGTCCTCTCCTACCACTCCTGGCATCGCCGTGCTGGTGGGTTGGGAGAAAATCTCCAATTGAAGTCCTACCAAGGAAATCCAAAGCAATAATCCTAAGGACAGAGCTGATTTCCCATCAGCTTAGCATGTTGTTTTCCCTGCTCGCCTTTCCCATTGTGCTCTGGCTTCTGTGGCAGCTTGGACAGCAAGGTCTTCAAGGCAGGGATTACCTCCTGACACAGGTTTGGGGTTGCTCAGCCCCTGGGGCCCCAGGTGAGCATAATCCACGCACAACCGGTGTTGCAGCACAGTCCCTTCCCTGGGCTTGGCCTTGGAGTCCTATCCAGAAGGAGAGAATAGCTGGACACAGCAAATGGAAACAGCAACAGAAGGTGTGTTCCTCTGTGTCGATCAATGGCCCATCCCTGGAATTGTCCAAGGCCAGGCTGGATGGGGCTTGGAGCAACCTGTGACAGTGGAAGGTGTTCCTGCCCATGGAAGGGGGTTGAAATGAAATGATCTTGAGGGTCCCTTCCAACCCAACCCATTCCATGACTCTGATGTGGGAAGCCCCTTTACCATGGTGCTGGATTTGTTGAAATTCCATAGACTTTTTTAGGGGAGTACTTAATTTATTTGCCCTTTGTAAGGGTGGTGGTGACAAGGAAGGTGCCCAAGGAAGCACAGCATGTACTCAGCGTGCTCCAGAGCTTTGGTGATGCCCTTTGGAAAACCCAAGTGGTGTGAAGGGCATGGCTCTCATACCAGTGCTTTCTCCTGTCTGTTCCCTCCTTAAAACACAGGGGGTAGAGAGAAAGAAGAATAATGGCATCATGGAATGGTTCGGGTTGGAAGGGACCTTGAAACTCATCTCATTCCAGCCCCTGCCATGGGCAGGGACACCTTCCACTAGCCCAGGTTGCTCCAAGCCCTGGGCAACCTGGCCTTGAACACTTCCAGGGATGGGACATCTGCAAATTCACTGTTATGGATGTTTCCACATCTGGAAAACATCCCAGATGTTTCCAAACAGGATGTTTACCTCCATCTCACGCGGCGGCAGCGCTCTAAGCGCTGGGAGACGATTTGGCTCTCCCTGTGGAGCATCCCCGCGTGGGGTCCCGCTCCCGCCGGGCCGGGAGGTGGGATTTGGGGAGAGGGCTGGGGGCACAGCGAGGTGGGGGGGCTCCCCGGCTCCCGACGCGCCTCGCCTTTGTTCGGGCAGCGCTGGAGCCGGGCGGCCGCGGGGCGGGGAGGGGTGGGGAGGAGGGATGGCGGGGAGGAGGAGGAGGGAGGGTGGGAGGTGGGAGGGAGGGTGGGAGGTGGGAGGGAGGGTGGGAGGTGGGAGGGAGGGCGGGCTACCCGAAAAGGCTTTTTTTTTTTTTTTTTTAAATCTCCAAGAAAAGAACGATCCGGAGGCAACGCGAGAACTTTTTTTTTTTTTTTTTTTTTTTGTGGGGGCGCTTGTCAATAACAAAAGTAAATTATAAAACAAAAAAAAAAAAAAGAAAAAAGGAAAAAAAAAGGAAAAAAAATTTTAAAAAAATCGAAAGGAAATTAATTAAAACAAGCCCGAAACTCCCACCCCTCGGCCAGACCCGGCCCCCGGCCCGCCCCACGCCGCCCCGGAGGCGGCAGCGGCGGCGGCGGGAGCGGCGGCGGCCGCGGCGGCGGCGGGGGGAGGCGGTCGCCGGGCGCCGCCCGCCCCGCATCCCGCCGCATCCCGCCGCCGGCCCCAAATGGATTATCTGCGGCTGGTGCTCTCCTGCCTCGTCCCCCTGCACGGCTGCCTGGCCGCCGGCAGCGCCCCAGGTACGGCCGCTGCCCCCGGGACGGGGGGCCCCGCCGGGGCGGGATGGGCGGGGGGGGGACTGACAGGTGGCTGCGCCCCGCGGGATGGGGAGAAGGGGAGAATCCGCCGGGGGCGGGGGGGGTTGTTTGGTTTCAGTGGGAATTGGGGGAGATGGAGCCTGGGCGAGAAATAGTTGGCGTGCTTGGCGTGCGAGGGGACGTCAGCCCGAGTTCCTTCTGCTACGTTGGACGCACCCGCTTAAAACTACAAAGCGGAGCCGTGTTGGGACGGAAAAGCAGTTGTTGGGTTTATGGAGCTCCGGCGGGGCTCGCCAAAGGCTCCCCAAGTTGGGTTGGCCGCCGAGATCCCGGTGCCTGAGCGGGATGCTCCGTGCCCACGGCTCTTTCCCTCCGTCTTGTCTCCGCAGAGCTGCTCCTGTCCGGCAAACTCCGCGAGTATGGTGTGATCGTCCCGTTCAGCACCGATTGCCGGGGTCGCTTCCTCTCGCACGTGGTGTCCGGCGAGGCGGTGGCGGGGATCGGCGATCCCGCCTGTCCCCCCGATCCCTCCCCATCCCACCGCCGCGTCCCCCGCAGCCCCCCAGATGAGCCCCCCCAGCGCCGCTTGCTCTACTTCAACGTCACGGTTTTTGGGAAGGAGCTGCACCTCCGGCTGAGGCCCAACCGGCGGCTGCTGCCCCCGGGCGCCGTGGCTGAATGGCAGGAGGATTTTGAGGTGCTTTTCCGGGAGCCCCTCCAGCAGCGGTGCCTTTTCACCGGGGACATCTCCGGCATGCCCGGAGCCGCCGTGGCCATCAGCAACTGCGACGGACTGGTGAGCTGGGGGCTGGCGGGGTGGCTCGTGTGTGGTGCCCGTGTTTTGGTGTGGTTTTCTCTTAAGAGGTGAATGGTGGTGTCCTGAAACCTGATTTTTTTTGGTGATGCTTTAGGTGTCCACGGCATTCATCGCCCTTTACCTGGCAGGTCGCCTTTCCCCACATTGACACAGGGTTCTACCTGCCTGCTCCATCCTTCCATTGGCTGAGCAGGGATATTTATTTAAAGGGCTTGAAAAAATTGCCAGTCCCACGCTTGAGCTGCCTCCTGCCCGGAGGTGGACTGTGCCACATGTTGTTACACCCACGGGCTGTGCCCTGCCTCTGGAATGGGTGCACCACGCTGGGTGGTGCTGCTCTGTCCTTGCTTGCCTGTATTTTACCTTGGGACTGCCCCAGGAACTTTTTCTCTGCATTTCCCACCTCTTAAATGGTGCTGAGCGAGCTTGAGCATCTCCTGAAATCACTGTTAGGTGCAGTCTGGCTTCCACCAACTGTCTTTTTAAGGGACGACCTCTTTTTTTTTCTAATCGTTCTCGTGCTCAGAACCTCCTGGCTTTCTGAGCACAGTTCAGCATTAGTAACTTGCTGCCACAGGGCTTTAATTCCTTCAAATGGCTCTATTACCTCCTTATCCCCGGCGTCTGCTCTGCCTGTGGGTTTCCTACCTCTGATACGCTTGGGGAATCGCTCATTTTTTAATACCTTTGGCCCGTTGCCCTTCAGATTTCCTTTGAGCCAGTTTAAGTCTTGTTTTAGGTGCCAGCGTTGGCTGTTTCCTCCTGGTACCACTCAGTGTTACTCCTGGGTTGGAATAAATGTCTTATTTTGAGCTTTTTTTCTTTTGGTTCTTTTTATATATTTCTTTTTTGGTTGCTTTATTCTGGGAGTTCCTTAAGCCAGTTTTGATTACTAGCACAAAAAATTTGGCATTCCTTTCTTTTTATACAGCACCCAGTGTTACTGTACAAGCAGAAATGATAGAGCAGCGTAGCCAGAAATACATATTTTGCCTACATATAGTAGTTAAATTTTTTTCAGCACGTAATCCACACCTTTTGAAGCATCCCGTTGGGACTTTTGCTGAGGCTGCAAACTTGCAGACATTTCTCCGTGACACGGATTGCACTGGGGCTGGCGAATTTGGGCAGGCTTGGGAGCTTTAAAGGCATTTCCTATAGCTCCAGCAAATAAGTGATGTGTCTGGAATGGAGACCTGAAGTGTGGAGGTTCCGTGGACAGTCTCACTCCCTTTGGCATCATGAGCAAAGGGATGCTGGAAGCAGCTGACAGCTGAGAAGCAGCGAGGGGATTTCTCTTCCCTGGAGCCCTGGATGCTGTTAGCATCCAGAATTTAACTTTCCTAGGCTTTAGCCCCAAGTTTTTTCCCTTCTCAGCCCCTTGCACACCTCCCCAGGTGGGGTTTGTTGTTATTGTTGCCATCCCTTGGCCGCAGGTGGTAGCAGCAGTGCTGGGTTAGGACGTAGCTTGTGCCACAGGATGCGTTTCCGTGTGCATTTATGCAGCCATGCCTGTCTGGCCACCCACAGTACCCCAAGCCCACCCTTTTGAGCCCACATAAAGGAAGAAGTGACCTTTCTCCAGGATAAGGATTTTTCTTTTCTTCCTGCAGCGTATTTTTTGCTCTGTGGCCAACGAATAGATATCCTGGCCTCAACCAGGAATTTCCCGTCATCTGGGGAAGGGCATGAGGCTGGGGGAAGAGGTTGGGAGGACAGAGCCCAAGCAGGGGCTCTCCTCATCCCCCAGTAAAGAGGATTTTGTGATACCTCCAATGTCACAGTTGTCTTCCCTCTTCCATGGGTTTTCTGGCTGTGTGATCCTCTGGCTTAAGTCAGTCTGACAGCTACAGTCTGCTCAGGATCCATCTGCTTTGGAGGAGTTGGGAGCCCAAGGGGACCCCCAAAAAGCAGTGAAGAGAGCTTGATTTAGGAAATGGAGCAAGAAACAGAACAGAAACACGGTGCTGGGTGTGGATGGGATGGGAGGATGACATTTATGATCTGTCAGAGAAGCAGTAGAACATCTGGGAGGGCTGTACACAGTCAGGACTGCTACTGAGGTGCTCCCCACTAACTTAATGTGGGGAGCACCAGCTGGAGGAAACTCTCCCTTCATCAAGGACCCTGGAATTGCTGTGGACTTTTTCTGGAAGTTATCCACCAGCTCGGGGAGGGGACTGTGGCTTTGGTATCCCAGTATAGCGTGCGTGGGAGGCGCAGGACCGCGCTCGGCCGCTGGTCTGCGGTCAGAGGAAGCGTTCTGGGATGCCGTGGATGAAGGCTGTGTACACAAGGAGATCAGCCCGTGTACAAACGGAGACTGAGATTATAAATAACGAGGGGGGGGATAAAAAAAACAACCCAGTTTCTTGAAAAAGACAGTGCTCCCGAAGCCTTTCCTCACTCCATATTTAGCCGTGTAAGTGGAGCCGATCCTCTTCCCGGATGCCAAGCCCGTGGCACCTTCCTCGGCTGTTGTTGGCCGTGGGCATCCACGCGTGAAAATCTGCCCTTTGATTTTTTTTTTTTTTGCAAGGGTGTCTCGTACCAGGGTGGGAAGGTGCTGTCGCCCATAACATAATTTCAAAGCTGATCTAAGCCACCAAATTCCTAACTGGTAAAGTAGCATTAGACAGAAATCTCCCCCGGCGGACACGTCTCGCTGCAGCGGAGGCATCCCATATCTTTCCATGCTGGCTTCAGCAGTGCGTGGTCGGCCTTGTTTCCTTCCTGCTTTGCTGGTTGCAGAGATGGGTGAAGGATTATCACCCATAGGCACCCTATTTGCTTTTTATGGCTGACTTTTCCTCCGGGTTTTTTTGCCATAGTCCTGTAAACTGTAGAGCCAGCGTTTTCCAGCCCTGGCGCCCTGGTTTGCTTCAGATGGGTGGCAGCAGATAAGCAGAGCACAAAAGACCTCAGGAACAGTAATTCATAGGGAATGAGGGGAGAAATAGTCCCCAGACTGATACCCCAGCGAAAAAAAAAAAAAAGGGTTTGTCTTTGAGGATTTTCCTTGCAGCTCCTATAACTGTAGGGTTAATTTTGGGAAGAAAGAAGGTGTGAGATGTCCCACTGGCCTCAGCTGGTTTGGGTCTTATATGAGTGCAAGGGCTTTTCTCCCAGGGGATAATCCTAATTTTTGGCAGTGAGTTGCAAACCAAGCCCTGTTTGGGCTGAAGACCTGATCAGTCAGCAGTAAGAGTGCCTCCATGTCCTCACCCCACCAGGAGTCCTGGCTTGTGTCACCTGACAAAGCAGGGTCTGTAGCCATCCCAAAAATCGCTTACCTTGGCACCAAGAGCAGGGAAGAGGAGTCAAGGAGGGCAAAGTGTTGAATTTGAGAGGCTGCAAAGCCTGTGCTGCAGACAGAGAGGTACCAGAATGGTGATGGAGCACCCGTGGACCATGCACCCTTCTACTGACCCCCCCCCCGATGCTCTCACCAGGCAATCCCTGGATGGAAGGGCAGTGGTGTTAGTGATGGTGTCTGTGTTCACACTGCCTGGTTTTCTAGGACTTTTTGTCCAAATTAAGTGTGAATCTCATAGGAAAAATACATACTATGCACGCAGCTGGCTTCCCCCTTCGGCACTGTTTGCTTCTCTGGCTGAGTGCAGTAGCTTTATTAATTTTTCCACATCTCAGCTCTGTTGAAGTGTCAGAATTTCCTGAATTCCTGTGGGAGTTGGAGCTTTTCACCCAATGGTGGTGGACGAGCTGCTTACCCAGGGTTCTGGGGGGCTCCCCCTTAGTGAGGCTGGATTTCATCTCTCCTGTAGCCTGGTGAGCTTCAGGAGAGCTGGAAAAGAGACTTTACCCTCTGTGAGCTGACAGGAGTGAGCTTGGTGTTTTCCTTAAAAGAAAAAAAAAAGAAGTGTTTTCCCTCTTTCCAGTGGAATTGTCTTTAAGAGCCATTTTCTAGTTTGGTGCTTACCTTCACTGAGAGCTGCAGACAGCATCTCATGTTAGGAGTGATGGTCCCACCAATCAATTTAATTCAATTTGGTATTATTAAACCAAATTAAAATCGAGGATGGGAGAGCACATGGCAAGTTGATCACTGAGGATGGGATTGATCTCTTGGAAAGAGCCCAAGGAAAGCTGAGTATGGCTTTCTAGGTGGTGTCTGGCCTTTCTTATTGGCTGCCTACAGTTATAACCTTCCAAAAATGCTGAAATACAACCTGGGCTGCTCCTCTTTAAGACCAGGCAGGTTGGTGCATGGCCTGCAATGGTGTTTTTTGAGTTGTTCTGGTTTTTAATTTATTTTTGCAAGTGCCAGGGTGACTGCTGTGTGGTTTCTGTTTCATTCCTTGGGCTGCTCTGATCAGACGGGCACACAAATCCTCGCGTTATCCGCTTTGCCATCGGTCACCACCAGCCATCGGTCGGCAGCGCGTTGCATCCCGCCTTTGGGAGAAAGCCTGGGCTGCTTTATTTCTTGAGCCATCTGTAATTAGTCACGAGCTGTAGAGCAGCTCAGACCCAAGTGGGCTGTGGCTCGGGCCCAGGCTCTTTCACATTTTAATCCAGCCTTGCCCCGGCGCGGCGGCACAGCTTTCCTCCGGCCGCCTGACTCAGCAAGTCCCGGCTTTCGCCCTAAACCCATAAACCGGCTTTGGGGTGCCTGGTCCGGGGTGAAACGCCCCGTGGCAGGGCTGGGAGGGGGTGGTGGTGTCCCAGCAAAGCTCCTCCTGGGACACGGGTTGCTTCTTCTCCTTCTCTTGTAATACAGTTAAGGGCAATGGCTTAGACTGGGAAATTAGGAAACATTTCTTCATGGGAAGGCTTGTCAAGTGCTGGCACAGGCTGCCCAGGGCAGTGGTGAAGTCACCAGCCCTGGGGAGATTTAAAAGCCGTATGGATGTGGCGCTTGGGGACATGGTTTAGTGGTGGCCTTGGCAGTGCTGGGAGAGTGGTTGGAGCTGATCATTTTAGAGGGCTTTTCCAGCCTTGCTGATTCCATGATTCTGTGACCTGCCCCATCATCATGGACTCTTCAGCTATCACTGAACCTGACTTGTGGGTTCAGTCCCTGGCTTGTTCTCTGCCTCATCGCCACCACCTTGCCTGGTGCTCCAGATTCTTGATTGAACCTGGCTGTGGTCTTGATCTCCTTGGCTGAGGGTAGTGGGACAATCCCTGGCTGGAGAGGTCCTGCCCTGGGTTGACCTGAACGTCTCCCGTGGGAAGGATCTGACATATGTGTGTCAGGCAAGTACTTACATTCCTCGGGAAGGAGGTGTAAAACAAAACCAGCCAAAAATGTGCTTTGCAGAGGAGTTAAGCAGCCACTAAAACCCAAGTGGAGCAGGAAATTTGATGAAGTCTAAGAGAGCCAGATTGGCCGATGCCATGATGAATCCAACAGTACATGAATGGAAAGGGGATCCGAAGATCCAGGCGGGCTTGGAAGAGCCCCACACTCTGTCCAATATACATCTCTGTATGCATTTTATTTTGATTTGATTTGATTTGATTTGATGAAAACCGTTCCAATCAAAACCCTGATGAGGACTCCAGTAGGTACGAGCTGCCGAAGGCTTTGCTGTAAGAACAGATCCATATGTTCTGCTGGTGCTTTCCAGGCAGCAATTCAAGAGCGGGCAGCGCCGGAGGAAGGAACGCACGCGTGCGTGGTGGAGGGAGCTGTGAAAAATTCTGGGCTGGGAGGGGTGCTGCCCACGGGATGGAAGCCAAATCCCAGTGATCCTTTTCCTTGCCTGAGGTCTGAGCCGGCCGGCGCTGCGGGGTTTGAGTGCTCAGGCTGATGTAAGAGGGATTTGATGGGAGCTTGGTGTTAATTAGGAGCAGGTCGGTAGCCAGGACAACATTTCCAGTGATGTTTGCCCTCTCATTGATCTTCCCTGTGTTTGGGAGGTGGAGCTGTAATGCTTTCCAGCTTCTCCTCCGACGGGATTCCCCTGTGCTAATTCCCAAGCGCTTTGTGGGGCAGAGAGAGGACAGTTTCTTTTTTCTTCTTCTTGTTGCAGCTCTTAGGGTTGGTGAAATGGCAGATTTCCTCACTGGCACTATGGGAATGGGATGGGGAGGGTGCAGGGAGGTGAAGTGGCGTGTATCCTGTTATCCCTTGAGTTCAGAGTTCAGCAGAACTCATCGCTGATGAGAAGAACAGAGTTTCATTGCCATTTAAAGACATAACTTGAGTTGCAGCCAGGTTGTTTTTTGTTGTTGTTGTTTTGTTTGGTTGGTTTTGTTTGTTTGTTTGTTTTTCTGGTTGGTTAGTTTTTCCCCTTCTTTTTAAATTTTTTTTTCCCATCTGCAGGAGAAATTATGGGTTGTCATAGATTAGCGTGGTAACAGAGCCATCCCAGTGTCACGGAGCAGCAACAAGACAGGTTTATTCGGGGTGGTCTTCATAATCATGTGTGTTCTGCATCGATCTTTAACGCATGTATTGAGTGTATCTGTCTGCCTGTGCCTATACAAAACCACACCTTTTTTTTCCCCTTGATTTCCTTGTGGAGTCCAGGCTGGCTTGATTCGGACAGACAGCAACGAGTTCTTCATCGAGCCCCTGGAGAGGGGGCAGCAGGAGATGGAGGAGCACGGGAGGGCCCACGTGGTGTATCGCCGGTCGGCCATCCGGCAGGACAGCGCCGCGCCGCGCCACGACCTCCACCCTGAAGGTAGGGGCTGCTGGAATCTGCTCTGTCCCAGCAACTGAGAATAAGTGGAGAGAGGATTTCTCCTTCCACGTGCCCCCTGGCTCGTACTGGTTTTAGCTGCCAGCTGGGTTGTTAGTGAGAAGAAAGGAGTGACAATGCTGGGCTTGGAGCCCAGCCTTGGTTTAATCACCTCCGTGTTGTGAAATGAGGGGGGGGGGGCACTGGAAGTTGTTGCCCAGAGAAGCTGTGGCTGCCCCGTCCCTAGAAGAGTTCAAGACCAGATTGGATGGGGCTTGGAGCAAACCTGATCTAGTAGAAGATGCCCCTGCCCACGGAACTTGAGCTTTAAGGTCCCTTCCAACCCAAACTGTTCTGTGATTCTATGATGATTCTGTGAACTGTGGAATCAAACAGACCATAGAACCATTTAGGTGGGAAAAGACCTTTAGGATCAGAGTCCAACCACTAATGTGCATTTTAGCCCTGGTACTTCCAATTCAGAGCCATTTCCGCACCACAGAGCAGCCAGTCAGAGTTAAATATCCTGTTTGGAATTAAATATCCTGTCTGTTTTCCCTGCTTCGCTTCTTGTTCTGTGGAGTGCCGCCATGGTGCCAGGTCACCTCAGCGGCTCTTTGTTTTTCTGCCCTCCATGCCTTGCCCAGTGCCCGGGGCGCAGGTGGGTGACCTCCCCAACTCCCTGGAGCTGCTGACGGAGCGCCTGGGGGACACGGAGCGCAAGAGGCGCCATGCCAGGAAGGATGACTACAACATCGAGGTCCTGCTGGCCGTGGATGACTCAGTCGTGCGCTTCCATGGCAAGGAGCACGTCCAGAACTACGTCCTCACCCTCATGAACATAGTAAGGCTTGGCTTCTGGGGGGAAGATGTGACTCCCACCCTTCCCTTGGCTTAGTGCTCTTCTGATGCTGCAAATCTGTCACCCTCGGAAAAAATGGGTTTGGGAGGGGAAGGAGTGCTGCAGGAAGGGCTGTGCCTGCACGTGACTGGCTCTGGCATTTAACAGCGGTGGGAACTGGAGGGATGGAAAGCAGAGTCCTTTGGTGTTTACCTCTATCATGTTCCCCTGGCCAATGGCAGGGTCTGGTGTGTTGGTGCTGTTGCTCTCTCTCATCCAAGACCAAGAGCATTTTCTCTTTCTCCTGACTGAGACCGTCTCCTTCTCATCATCAAGATCTCTCACCTTGCCTGGCAAGGTTATGGAGCAGATCATCCTAAATGCAATCACACAGTACCTACAGGGTGGACAAGGGATCAGATCCAGCCAGCACGGGTTTAGGAAGGGCAGGTCCTGTCTGACCAACTTGATCTCCTTTTATGACCAGCTGACACACCTGGTGATGAGGGGAAGGCTGTGGATGTGTCTGCCTGGACTTCAGCAAAGCCTTTGACACCATCTCCCACAGCACAGTCCTGGAAAATGCAGCCCAAGGCTTGGACAGGGGCACCCTGTGCTGGGTCAGGAACTGGCTGGAGGGCCAGGCCCAGAGAGTGGTGGGGATGGAGCTGCATCCAGTTGGGATCTGGTCACCAGTGGTGTCCCCAGGGATCAGTGTTGGACCCAGTTCTGTTAAATATCTTTACTGGTGATTTAGATGAGGGGATTGAGTCCATCATCAGCAAATTTGCAGATGACACCAGGCTGGGGGGGAGTGTTGATCTGCTGGAGGGCAGGAGGGCTCTGCAGAGGGACCTGGACAGGCTGGAGAGTTGGGCTGATTCCAAGGGGATGAGGTTCAACCAGGCCAAGGGCCGGGTCCTGCCCTTTGGCCACAACAACCCCCGGCAGCCCCACGGGCTGGGACAGAGGGGCTGGAGAGCAGCCAGGCAGGAAGGGAGCTGGGAGTGGGGATGGACAGGGAGCTGAACAGGAGCCAGAGTGTGCCCAGGGGGACAAGAAGGCCAATGGATCCTGGCCTGGCTCAGGAACAGGGTGGCCAGCAGGACCAGGGCAGTGATTCTGCCCCTGGACTCAGCGCTGGTGAGGCCACCCCTGGAGTGCTGTGTCCAGTTCTGGGCCCTCAGCTCAGGAAGGACATGGAGGGGCTGGAGCAGGTCCAGAGGAGAGCAACAAGGCTGGGGAAGGGACTGGAGCACAAGTGCTGTGAGGAGAGGCTGAGGGAGCTGGGGCTGTTCAGCCTGGAGAAGAGGAGGCTCAGGGGAGACCTCCTCACTCTCTGCAACTCCCTGCCAGGAGGGGGGAGCCAGGGGGGGTTGGTCTCTTCTCCCCAGCAGCTCTCAGTAAGACATGAGGGCTCGGTCTTAAGCTGTGCCAGGGGAGGTTTAGGTTGGATATTAAGAAGAAATTCTTTACAGAGAGGCTAATCAGGCATTGGAATGGGCTGCCCAGGGAAGGGGTGGATTCTCCGTCCCTGGAGGTGTTTAAGACCAAGGCACTCAGTGCCATGGGCTGGGAACCACAGCAGTAGTGGATCAAGGGTTGGACTTGATGACCTCAGAGGTCCCTTCCAACCTGGCTGATTCTATGATTCTGTGAAATGATAGAAAGGAGAATGGTTGTTCCTTATTTAGTTAGAAATTACGGTATTTTATTATTTATTCTGTAATGATAATGTTGATAATTTATTTTGAGTAATATTTGTTGGCAGAGGAAATATTTTTATAGCTTTTCAGAAGCTTTTTCATGCTCCTTGGAAAACCTGTGCACCCTGAGGGTTAGTTAGATGTGTTTGAAAAGGAGTTTAGAGCAACTCTAATTTACAGCTCCTGCAACTCTCCTCACTTGAAGGGATGGGGAAGCCTGTGCTGGTTCCCTACATCCCTTTTCTTTCCTTTTTAAGATAGAAACATCCATATTCCCTGAGTCCTGAGAGATGTGGAGGGATCAATATTTGTTCAGGTAGCCATCTTACAGGAGGTTTGTTCTGCCAGCACCTGAATGTCAGCAAAGGGGGTACATGTTCAAGGATCTCTTTCTCTCTCCCAGTTTTGTTTTGTTTTCCATGCTTCATCCTCACCTCTATTTATTTATTTTTCTTTGAGTACTCTTTTACGTGGTGATGGAAAATGTTGGAAAGGCTCAGCCAGTTCAGAAATAACAAAGTTATGAAGGTGCTTTTGGTTTTTTGGGTGGTTGGTTGTTGGTTCGGGCATTATTTCTGCCATATTTTCGGTAATGAAGGGGAAGTTATCAACATGGGGGTAAGGATTTGCGGGATTAGAGGGTGATGGGGTGGAGGATGAGTGATGTGGCTGCTCCAAAACAGAGAAAATGTTGGCTTTAAGAAGCAAATGCCTTCGTTGCAGTGTTTTATTCTCCGGCACGTTGTCGCGATGCCTGTGGTCGGCTGCTCTTGGCATCACTCAAATTCCCTCTCTGAACGTTTCTCCCGTTGGTTTACTAAATCCTCCTGCAAGTGGGAAGCCACAGAGTTCCCTGCTCTGACCTCAGGCTCTTCCCACGTTATGGGGGTCGGAGATGATGTCATTCTTCCTTTCCCATCTTGGGGGGGGTGGGAGGGACGGTTTGAGTGCCCGGGGATTGTCAGCTCTAATCAAAAGGTTGGTTTTCAGGCACATTTCATGGTTCCTTCCCTGCAGGCAGGACTTTTCAGGGAGTGAATGCACGGGATGCTGTGCTGGGAGAAGGGAGGATGCTGCCTATTCAGTTACAGGCGGCGCTGGAGACTTTAATGAATTAAATAAAGGGGGGAAAAAAGCAGCATCAATAAAAGGGGGGAAAAAACCCCCCAGGGATAATACATGCAACAAATACTTCCCCCAAGCATTATTTCCTTCTGTATATTCTTCCCCCCCCTTCTTTCTTTCTGGTTTTTAGTGCGTTTTCTTCCCAGCTTTGCCGTGACCTCCGTCCGCCTCCTCTTCCCTCAGCGCGCCTCATTTCCTTACCGGCTCAGATTCCTTCAAATACCCGATTCAGCAGAAAAAAGAGCGTCCTGCTTTCTGGCCTGGATGGCAGAGGGAGGGAGAGAGGAAGGTGGTGGGGAGGAGCGTGCTGGGACCACACAGCTGAACACTAATCCCATTAGTTGGAGGCAAGGGGAAGGAGAAGGGACTTGGCCAGCCCTCTAACGAGGAAAGGACTTAATGAGCTGGGCTGGAGTAAGTCGGGGAGATGTTGGGAAAGTTTTCTTGTCTAGGAGTTTTCCTATCAAGATATATCCCAAGGAAAGGGGGCAGCGAGCTTGGAAGTTGATAATAAACTTTCCTGGCTCTCTCTGGGGTCTCCATTGGGTGCCAAGGGGGTGGTGGGACACGTGCCCCTTCCCAGCCCTGCTGTAGGTGGGGTCCTGCGGCTCTTCCCAAGGCACAGACTCCTTTATTAGGAACTTGGTGTCAGCTGAAGCTCAGTGATAAATGATTTGTCACGGAGAACTCTTCTTTTTTTTTTTTTTTGTGTCCATCCCGGGAAGCTGACAGGAGGATGACTGCTCCTTTTGTGCACCTAAGAGCTTCCCTGCAGGCAGGCTGCCTTCTCTGCGAGCTCCCAGCCTGCATTCCCAGCCTGCCCTTCCCTTCTTAGCTCGGATGCCACACAGGAATTTGGGGTCAGGTTGGGGGGATTGGGAAATGCATCCTTTGCCGTTGCTTGCTGAGCACGTCTTGGTGCTCCAAGCTGAGCGTCGTGGTGTCCACCCAACCAAACCTTGTCCCTCTCCCTGTCACTGGGCTATTGGAATGAATATTTGGTGTTGTGGTGGCTTGGAGAAGCCATTCCCATCTCCTGCTTGCTGCCAGTGGCTGGGATTGGGGTGTTACTGAAGGAAAATTAGCATCCCCCAGCCACAGTGCCTGCTGGCAGCGAGGGCTGGGAACCAGGAGGGGATCCAGCACCACTTAAGGGGTAGAGGAGAGGAGATACTTTGTGTCCTGTTCTGCTTTGCAGCCTCTGGTCCTTCAGTTGGGCTCCTTGGTTTTCTCCTCTGGACTTCCCACCACTCGTCCCCGATCCTCTCAAGTCTGGGGATGGCCCCACTCCAGTGGGAGAAGCCAAGCTATGGGCTGTGTTAAGCCTGGGCCTGGTCTTAACCAGTCTGCTGGGGTTTTGTCGGATATTGCCCATGATTTGGTTAAGGATGCAAAGGTACTTGGTGTTTTCCCATTGTTTCAGGTTACTAGGGAAACCCCATGAGTCAGAGCCCTCTCCAGGCTGGGACTTGCCTGACTCCAGCTGAAATTATTGTTCCTAAGGGCTGAGCAACAAAGAGTGCTACTGAGACCCCACGTAGGAGGGGGTTTGGGGAAAAAAATTAAACCTTCAGCTTTAATTTTAACTTGGGCTTATCTGAAAAGCCAAGCTGGAGCGTGGATTGCTCAAGGCGTGAGCTTGCTGCTGTTTCAGGAAGCCAATCTAAAATAATGGGAAAATTCTGGTCCTTCTGGTGTATGGGGTTTTTTGTGGGAGAGAGGGGTTCATGAGTCCCCTCCTCGCTAACTGATAATAACAAAAATGCCTCTGATGTCTCTTGTGTGTCCATGCACTTTTTCCCACCCTCTCTATAGGCTTATGTGCTTGTTGCTATGTTTTTGGGACAACATACCTTGTTGGTGAGAGAGCTCTGATAAAATCTATAGTTGTGCCCTGCAGAGCAAACCTCCCCTTCCCTCTTGTTCCTCTGTTCCTCTGCTCAACCCTTGCAGAGGTGCTGACAACAGCTTTGTGCATCCCTGCAGGGCATGCGAGCCCAAAAATGTGGTCAGGGGGACTTTTCCCTCCATTTCTAATCCCTCAGCCCCAGAAAAGAGGCTCAGGGTGAATCCACCAGCATGAAAACTGAGGAAGGGAATAAAAGAAAGGAGTTTAAAGATGACTTGGCTGTACTGAGTAAGCGATCCGGGGTTTTGAAATGTCAGCTGTTCTGCTGGTTTGGCAAATTCTTCTCGTGTCTCTCCCTTTGTTTTCCTTCCCTGAAGAACAGCGAGGTCTAGACCTCGTTGCCAGTGCGGTTTGCTGTCGGGATCTCGGTCTGGGGCTGCAGGCTCGGGGCTGGCCAGAGGCTTGCAGGGATTTAGGTAGGCAGCATTCCCTGCTCCCGGCACCAGCGAGGCTCTGAGGGGGGTCCCACGCACAGGGTGAGTTCACTGAGCATTTTGGAGAGGATACACAGGGTTTTAATGTTCCTTTCATTGTAAAATATTAGTGTTGTCCCCTTGGTGTGGCAGTGATGGGGGAGGTCCTGTGGGCTGGTTTGCCCTTAATTCACAGCGAGCCTGAAGAGCTGGGCTGTTTATAGGTGGAAAAATTCCCTTTTAAATGAAATAGGAGAGCCTTTCTTGCCAGGTGACGGTGTGAAACAGGCTGGGCATGTAACCACATGGGCAAGAGGGATAAGAAGATCTTTGTCCCATGTCTTCAGGGATGTAGGTCCCTTTGCCAGAGCCCTTTGCCGAGCAGGTATTTTTCTGGGGGGGGGAAGGGGTTTCTCTGAAGACACTGACTTGCATAATGGCATCTGCAGAGGGCAGGAGGAGTTGTGCCAAGCCTGCAAACTGCTCTCTGGGCCGGTTTCCATCCCCTCTGCTGGCCTGAACCAGCTCCAGGGTGGGCTGATGGGGAGAGAGGAGATGATGCCCTGTTCTCCTTCCAGAGGCACTGGAGCACTCGAGGGGACGCTGGCCCTGCTGATTCCCCCGTCCCCAGCAACCCCAAAACCTGGGTTACAGTCCCCACAGCAGCAAGCACCAAGCCCTTTGGATATGACTTTTCTTGCCCTCAATCAATTATTTCTGTCTGGCTGTTAAGGGAAGCCCATAGCCTTGGGCAGTCTGGTTCCACATGTGCTTTCTGAGTTCACCCTAAAGGTTGCTGCTGAGCTAGTATCAGTTAGGTAGAGATCCCTTCCTAAACCCTAGACTAAACAGGGGCTGGGGTTTAGGGTTAACCCTTCAGTTCAGAGGCTGGAGGGGGGTACCTGTGAGCTGGAGGAGAGTGGGATTTAGCACTGCTTTATAAGGAAGATTTAGGAGATTAAATCCCATCTTGGACTAATACAGCTTCTTGGTCTTAGTCCTTTAATGAGCTGTTTCTAAGCTGCTCATGGTCCTGCTGCTCCTCCAGTGAGGCTGAGGAAGGATCTACAGTGCTGGGAGGGTGGTGATGAGTCTATTTGTTAATGCTTGTGAAAAATATTGCTGTTTCCCAATTTTTTTTTCTCCCAGGGCATCTAATATTGCCTGAGGGTGCCTGGTTTGGGCCAGGGAGCTCTTCTCAGACCTGGGGACTGTTTGTAGGTACTGCAGGTGGGAAGAGCCATTGCTGAGAGCAGGGGGCTGTGTACCATGGATCAAAGCTCCTGCTCTGACAGCAGCTCTGCTCGTGCTCCTTCCTGCCCTGGGTGCAGCCCTCCTCTTGCCAGCTGGGGCTGCACCAGGTTGTCATGGAGAATCCTTTCCTGCTGCCTGTGGGATCTGCTGAGCATTTTGCCAAAATATCCTGTGCAGCTGGGAAAGGAGAGGTCTGTACTGCTGGATGCTCCCAGTCACAGCAAGTGGCTTGGCCGGGAGCTCTGCCTGGCAGAGAAGTCCCTAAGGCAGGAATGTGGTTCATCCTAATGAATGGAAAGCAGCAGAGTGCTGGTGGATGACCAGAGAATCCTAGAATCATGGAGTGGTTTGGGTTGGAAGGGACCTTAAAGATCATCTAGTCAATCCCACTGCCATGGGCAGGGACACCTTCCACTGGCCCAGGTTGCTCCAAGCCCCGTCCAACCTGGCCTTGGACAATTCCAGGGATCCAGGGGCAGCCACAGCTTCTCTGGGCAACCTGTGCCAGGGTCCCACCACCCTCACAGCCAAGAATTTCTTCCTAATATCCCATCTAACCCTGCCTTCTGCCACTTTGAAGCTCCAGCTCCTGATAAGTGCTGGTGGTGAAGGAAAACGTGTAAAGGTTTGGGAAAGTGAAGGAAGTGCTTGTTTCCCTCCTTGTTCCCTGAACCACTCCCCAGGTCCAGCTCTCCATCTCTCCAAGCATAGTTTTCATTTCTCCTGCTCTCCCCCCTTTCCCATACTTTTATATTGACTCTCACAGGACACACGTTAAGGCTGGAATATTTTTGTAACAGGTCAAACTCCTGACGTGAGACTTCTCAGATCTGATGAGGTTTTCTCTGGGCTGCCAAAGCCTCCCAGAGCCCAAAACCCAGGGCTGAGCCTCACATCCCTGGGGATTTGAAACTCCTTGCTGGAATGGATCCTTAATGCTTTGGTGGGACTGTAGCTCTGAGTAATGTTTGCAGCTGCAATGCTGCACGGCCTTCCTCCCATCTGTGCACATCCCCGAAAAACAGAGTTAGATCAGAAGGAATCCATCATATGCTCGTTATTTTTACAAACTACCTTTGAAAGGTGCAGGAGCATCCCAACCACGGGAAGCAGGGGTGACCTGAGAATGAGTTGACCAGCGTTGTCTTTGCACACTGATAAATAAATAACCCTGCGGCTCTCGCAGCCTGTGCATCCAAAGGGATGAGTTAGTGGGGGTGGACTGGCAGTTCATTGATTGATTTTACTTTTTTTTAATCAATTTTGCTGCATTCAAGGCTCAGGATCTGCATTACCTCTCTGCATATCTTGGAGCCACCTCCCAGGAGTGTTAGTTATCATGGGAAAACATTAATGCCAGGGTTTTGGGTTTAAAAATGGCCTGAGTGGGTGTTTCAAACACATACACAGGCTGTAAATTGGGGGGCTTGTAAAACACACTGGGAAATGGCTGACTTGGATTTGGGCAACAGTAAAAGGGTACTTGTCACCCCTCCCTCGATGTGAGCTTAAAAAACCCCAAAGGAGTGGGGAAAAAACAGAAAAGCTTCATAAATCTGATTTTATAATCTTCATTGAGTCTGGAAAGCTATGACAGAGCTGAGGCAAATTATTTCCCTCTTGGGCAAAGCTGAAAAAATATATTTTCATTTAAATGTGAATTCCAGTCAGTATTAAAAATGGTTTTAATATGGTTTCCTCGACTTCTGCAGTGAACCTCCATTTGTGGAACTGTTCATTTTGGAGACTTTTTGGGGGAAAATGGGGGTCCCATTCTCAAAAATCATTTTTTTTTCCCCGGCTGCATTTTCACACATGCTTTGCAGGTGGGTGAAGGTGGTGCAGGATCTCACATGAGTTTGTGGCTGCTCGCTCTGTGCCTCTCTCAGTGGCTGTCACCACACTTGGCTCTCAGAGGTCTTTCCCACCTGGATTCTTCTTCCCTTGGTAGCACTTAGGAGTAGAATTTGTTTATTCATCCTGGAAACGCGGAAGGAAAAGGTTGTAGCTCTTTATTTCCTTTGCAAAGTCATTTTTAATAGCCCGGGGTGATAGAAATCTCATTGACTCACAAGCCCTCCCTGTTCTTCTCATTGTGTTGTCTTCTCCCGGGATTTCTGAAGCGGTAGGTCAAGTTTGACTCACTGATGTGACTGAGTAATGCCCTTGCTTTGATACAATGGTTTGCCTCTCCTCAAAAAGGCATTTTTCCTTTCCACCACGCAAGGATGCTGGAGGCTGAAGCATTTCCAGCCCTCTGAGGAATTCGTATTCCCAAGGGGCAACGGCTCATTGCGAGATGGGGTGGAGGAAACTCAGCCCTCCTCCACTCTCCTGATGGTGTGGGCGATGCCATTGACCATCTGAGCCACCTATGCTGGGAAAAACTGCCTTATTCCAGCTTGGCCTTTTGACTTTATTGTTTTTACACAGAGGAAAAAAAGACCACACTGGGGATGGGGGGAGGGAGGTGAGATCTTTGCATCTGGTCTTGGAAAGCAGGGTCGGGTGCTGGACGTGGGAGTGTGGAGGACAGGAGGGGCTTGAGGGCTGGGGGATGATCTTAATTTCTTCCCTGTTGTACTTCCCTCCTTTGTTCAGGTGGATGAGATTTATCACGATGAGTCCCTGGGCGTTCACATCAACATCGTGCTGGTCAGGATGATCATGGTGGGGTACCGGCAGGTAAATACGGTGCTGGGGCGTGCTGGGCAGGACCTGCTGTGATATTTAGTTCTTAGGTAAGCCCTGGCTTGGAAAAATGTGGCTGTTCAGGTAAGCTGCTGAAGCCCAAATGACAACTGTGCTGAGCAGGGATGAATTTGAACCCTTCTTGGCCTGGATTTTGGAGTCTGAAGGTCTGGAGTGCCCCATAGCCAAGGAGAAGTCCTTGGGGAGATGGCGGGTGGCTGCGATCTGCCCTTATCTGCGTCCTCTGGGATGTGGGAAAAATACGAGAGGCTTCCTCAGGAGCTCAAGGATAGATGATGAGAAAAAGGTGGCTTCCCAAATTGATAGGAGCTGGATATTAGTGAGGAGAAGATGAGGCTGGGATCTCCTGTGTCCCAGCCTCGACTCGGCTCCCTGGAAGGCTTTGCTGGCTGTCCAGCTCTCAGGTGGCTTGGGCGTGGACAGAAAAAGCATGAGAAGGTTTCCTGGGAACGTTTCTCAGGTTGGATTTATTTTTTAAGGCTTGTTCAAGCATGGCAGCCAGAAGATTTTCTTTACAACAGTGTGATTTTCCTATTTTGGGGCAAGCCCCTATCCCACCCGAAGTGTTCTACGAAGGTGTTAATGATTCAACATGGTGATGTGTCTGTGTGTATGTGTGTGTGATCCACAAATAAGACCCTTTAGGTTTTGGAAAAACCCCTCCTTGTTATAGAAATATGCTCAGCTGGCAGAAATCCAAGAGATCTGGGGCTGGTTCTGAGGAACAGGGACGAGGATGGAGGGTGGCCCATTTTTGGAGGTTTCTGTGGGACCAGGAACATCGTCTCCACCTGAAAAAGCCAATAATCTGTCTGGCTTCCTCCCAGTGGTGTTTGTGCTCTGTGCTGGAGGATGATTTATGGAGGGGAAGGGATTTGGAGCTGTGGTGTTATGGCCAATAACCGGAGGGATGAGACCCGCCGGGCTCCCTTTAGGATGATTTATCCTCCTGAAAGCCAGTGCTGGAGGCAGCTGCTCTGCCCAGTTATGCTGCGGTTCAGGGGATGATGTAGGAAAATGATGAGCAGATGTTTGAATCCAGGCGAGCTCTCAGCTCACCACTGTTCACACCCGAGTCCTCCTGCAGCTTCTTGTCTCCCACCTGGAACTTTGCAGGACAAAACCTCCCGTGGCTTCCAACTAAGGGCCGGGGGGGGGGGGAAGGGCAGTGTGTCTTCCTTTGCTTCCCACCGGTGAGTTTTTGATTCTTTTCCCAGTCGGTCAGCCTGATCGAGCGAGGGAACCCGTCCCGGAGCTTGGAGCAGGTGTGTCGCTGGGCTCACTCGCAGCAGCGCTCGGACCCGGAGCACGCCGAGCACCACGACCACGCCGTCTTCCTCACCAGGCAAGATTTTGGTCCCGCAGGTATGCAAGGTACTGTACTTGTCTCGATCAGGTATGTGCAGTTTGCTGGGGGAAAGCCAGCCAGGGGAGAGGATTTCTCGCAGAAACACAGTCTTGGCCAGCAAGGTCCAGAAAAAGGTTATAAAAATCGGTATTTGCTTTTTTTCCTCCTCCCCCCATGTGAAGTAGAAGAAAGACGGAACAAATTCAGAGCTCCAGCCTGAATGGGTGAAATGATATCTTTGTTAATTCTACTCTTCTTTGATTTCTTGTACCAGTCCTCCTCTTGTCCCAAAATGCCTTAAAAAATATAAAAATAAGATAAAAAAGATAAAATATCACAGGAAGCTTCTTTGGGACAGTCAATCCTTTCTGTCCTCTGGAGGACCTTTAAAACCTGGTTTTATATGGATTGGTTTCTTGGACGTGAGAGCATTGAATGAATCCTGGGCCAAAGAGGAGGTTTTACTGCAGGGGTCTCTCACCCTCCTGGTGCAGAGGCTGCACTGATGTGGTCTGGGAAGTTAAAGACCTTGGCAAAAAAATTTTCAGGAAAAGCTCCTGGTGTTTCAGGGCTCCGTTAGAAAAGCAGGTGCTTTGGTGTCATCATGAGAGGTGACTTCTCCCAGTTCTGAGCCCACTGCCTCCAAATTGCCATCTCCTTCTTCCCACGCTGGTGGCCAGGTCTGAATTTCCACCAGGAGGTTCCATTTGATGCCATGAACATGGTGGTGACCTCACACTGATTTGTAGCACGAGTACTCCTGTTGTGCAAGGGAGGGAGGAGAGGTGGAGAAGACCTGTCCTCACCTGAATTACCTGCCTGAAAAGGATCTCTCCACAGCAGGAGATGAACCACGGGAGATATCCAGCTGGAAACCCTCTTGAATATGTTGTTGGCCACCAAAGAGCAGAGTCTGGGTTGTGCCAACAGCCTCCTCACCGAGCCATTGACTTGCCCTGGGCTCCTTGTCTGGGGTCGTGTGGCAGCGTGGGCAAAATACCAGGTTTTGTTTCGTTTTTCTAGACCCTTCCTGGCGAAGTGACTGTATCCAAAGTGTGAGAGGACCTTTTTTGGCATGTCAGCAGAAGGGGGAGAAGACTCCCTGGGCTCTGCCTTGGTGGGAAGGAGTTGTGGGAACAGTGGAGTAGCCCTGCTGTAGGGGTGCTGGCTCCACCTCCTTCCCCGTTTCCCTGCGGATCTGGCTTCCTGCTTGTCACACATCCCTGGGATGGACGTTTGCTTTCTGCAGAAGTCCCCGTGGCTGCCGTGTCCTTGCCTGGCTGTGTTGCATGGCACAAGGTGCTCCTCATCCACTGGGAACTCTCCTCTGGTTGGGCCGCTGGAGTCATAACACTTCTCTTACTCTTGCCTCTTTTCCTCAAAACAAAGTCCTTTTGGACTCCTCTCACCCCTGATGAGCTCGGGGCTGTGTGGCATGAAGGACCAGACTGTGGCACCTCCAGTACTTGTTTGTAAAGCTGGAAGGGGAAGGGCCAGTTGAGCCTTGTTGCCCTCGCGTGTGGGTTGCAGATAAACTCCTGCCCTTTGGAGAGAAAGGCAGTGGATAGATGGGTTGTAAATCATTAATTACTGCTGCAGAAGTCTTGTCAATACCCGAAGAGTTTCTGTGACCCTCCTCAGCGTGTGGCACGGAGGGATTTCTGGCCCAGGCTGAGGGATTCTTGTGCATTTATTGCCCTGTCATCACCCACAGTTGGCTTGTCCCCTTAGAGCAGGCTGGTGGTCCATGCAGAAGGTCAGAGAGGCTGAAAATGGGTAGGAAATGTCCATAAAGAAGAATTAAGTGCATGTGGAAGAAGAAGGAGACTGGCTGGTGTTTTGCTGTGCTGGTGAGGGCAGATGATTGTTGGAACTGGATGATCTTTAAGGTCCCTTCCAACCCAAACCATTTCATGATTCCATGACATGCTGCTTCTCCTGAGTGTGTATGTCTGGGAAGCATTTGCAGGCTAATCCAGTCTTTCCCAATTTAAAATTTTCCAGGCAGTTACTTCTCACCGTCGTTCTTCTGTAGAGAACCCTTTATACTTCCAGTTCCTACTGGGATCCTCATTATGAAAGACCAGTATCTGCATTACTGAGCATCCACCCTTTCATATTCCTTTATCCCATCTCCTGTTCAGAGCCTCTTTGGTTAGGAATTTATCCCGTTTTCATCCTAGACAAAATATATTTGCTCTTCCCTTACACAGAAAACTTCCCACATCTTTACTCTTTCTTGTGGAAGGTTTTGCTGGGGGGGGAATATTTTAAAATGATTTATCCAGGATTTGATTGATTACTGTGTGGTTAAACCCAATTATGGGTGTGCCTTGGTGTGGAGCAAGGATCCCACGAGGATGATGGGCTCTGTGGATCCCGTGGTTTGGCCGGGGTGAGTACAGGAGGACAGGTGTGCATCCACCCTCAGCTCATCACCACCCCTTGTCCTGCTGCAGCTCAGCTCCTCCCTCTTGGCTCACAGAGCTCTCCTCTTGCAGCATGCCTATCCCCAGGGCACAGTTATCCAGCATGGTCCTGCCCTGCTTTTACCTCTTGGACCTGTAAGTCCTTCCTTCGCTAACCCCCTTGATGCCAAAAAGGGTCGGTCATAAAAAAACCCCAACACGTATTTATATAAAAACTATTCGGAAAGTAAATTCTGGAGTGTGCCAACGAGTTGATTGAATTGGGCAGAAATAACGTGAGGAAAAAAAAAAGGAAAGGTGACCAAACTGGAGGTGATGTGATGCTGACTGGGCGGGGGAAGGTTTCCCTGCCCACAGCTGCCCCACTGCACTGCACTTGATCGAGGGCTGGGGGCCGGGGCGGTGTGTGGTTCTGGGGACACGTGTGGATACACTCCAGGGGAGCAGGGCTGTGGTTCTGGCAGGGCTCTCTGGGGGACACCTCGTGCCTTTCGTTCTCTCCCTTCCTTTCTTCTTTATTTGTTCTAACTGAAGAACGGCGCGGGGGGTGCCGCTGCTGGGCTGGGAGGCGGTGGTGACCTGCACCCATAAAGCACGCACAGGGTGCCCTCCTGCCTGCCCAGGGGTGTTGGCACGAGGGCAGAGAGGTGCCTGTGAGCCTCAGAGCAACCTCAGCTGGCTTTTGGCACGGGGGTGATCACACTGGTGAGCGAGTCCTTGGCCTGCCCTCCGAGCCACATGGGCAGCTCCTCCTCTTCAGCGGCTTCCTCTTCGTTATCTCCTCCTGCCGCGGTGAAGCCAGGTTGTGTTTTTGTTGCCTTTTTTTTTCTTTTTTTTCTTAATTTGTCATTTTTCCCCCTCCTCTCTCAAAGGTTTTCTCTCTCCTCTCCTCCTGTCTCCTTCCCTTCTCTCTTTGCCCCAGGCTACGCTCCAGTGACGGGGATGTGCCACCCTCTCCGCAGCTGCACCCTCAACCACGAGGACGGATTCTCCTCGGCGTTCGTGGTGGCCCACGAGACCGGACACGTGTAAGTCACGGGGGCAGAGCGGGCTGTGCCCGTTCGGCAGCGGGACAAGCGTGGTGGGAGCCCCTTGCTTTGCACAGCATGCTTTCTGCTGGTGCAGAAATCCCTTTTCCCACCAGGTTAGGCATGGAGCACGATGGGCAGGGCAACCGCTGCGCCGACGAGACCAGCATGGGGAGCATCATGGCCCCGCTGGTCCAGGCCGCCTTCCACCGCTACCACTGGTCCCGCTGCAGCAAACAGGAGCTCAACCGCTACATCCAGTGAGTCAACCCGAACTGGGAGGGGAGGTTTCTCCCTTTAGGTGGCGCGACTGGTGGTGTTTTGTAGCCAAAGGTTCTCCGAGGGCTGGAGCGCCTCTGCTATGGAGACAGACTGGGAGAGCTGGGGGTGTTCACCTGGAGAAGAGAAGGCTCCGGGGAGACCTGAGAGCCCCTTCCAGAGCCTAAAGGGGCTCCAAGAGAGCTGGAGAGGGACTGGGGACAAGGGCCTGGAGGGGCAGGCCAAAGGGGAATGGCTTCCCACTGACACAGGGTAGGGTTAGATTAGAGATTAGGAAGAAGTTCTTCCCTGTGAGGATGGTGAGGCCCTGGCAGAGATTGCCTAGTGGAGCTGTGGCTGCCCCGTCTCTGAAAGTGTCCAAGGCCACTTTGTGGCTTGAATCAACCTGGTCTAGTGGGAGGTGTCCCTGCCCATGGCAGGCGGTTGGAATGAGATGAACTTTAAGGTCCCTCCCAACCCAAACCATTCTAGAATTCCGTGATAATTCAGGCGTATCGAAACCTGAATTTGGAGAGAGGCCCGGAGCTGAGGGATGGGGGTGATGGAGGGAAATGCTCCACGTCCGACTCTGCCTTGTGTCTCTGCAGTTCCTACGACTGCCTCCTGGACGACCCCTTTGAGCACCAGTGGCCCACATTACCCGAGTTGCCAGGCATCAACTACTCCATGGATGAGCAGTGCCGCTTCGACTTCGGCGTGGGCTACAAGACGTGCACGGCGGTGAGTACGGGTTGTACAGCCGCGCCGTGCCCCCTCCCCGGGACCCCCAGCCGGCCTGGGTGCCACGAGCCTGCTGGGACTTGCTGCTGCTGTCCCAGCCCAGCCCCTCTGTGCTCCCCAGTTCCGCACCTTCGACCCCTGCAAGCAGCTCTGGTGCAGCCACCCGGACAACCCCTACTTCTGCAAGACCAAGAAGGGGCCACCCTTGGATGGGACCGAGTGCTCTCCGGGCAAGGTAGGGGCTGGTCCTGGTTCCTGTGGAGGGGGATGTGCCCGAGGGCACACTGAGGAGCGCCTTCCTCCTGTGCTGCACCGTTCCTATAGTACTGTGGATGCGGGAGGGCTCTTCACTGAGCACTTTGGAAGAGGCAGGTGGGGAGCTCACCCCTCCTTCTCCTCCCTTCCAGTGGTGCTTCAAGGGCCACTGCATCTGGAAGACGTCGGAGCAGCCATACAGCCAGGACGGCAGCTGGAGCTCCTGGTCCAAGTTCGGCTCGTGCTCCAGGACCTGTGGGGGAGGTGTGCGATCCCGCAGCCGGAGCTGCGACAACCCGCCGTACGTCTGGGTCTCTCCTCCCTCCCTTTTAGCGGGGGTAAAACTGGAAGTGGCCGAGAGCCAGAGGTTCCTGGCTCTTCCCTGTGTTGGCAAGGATGGGGACATCTGTTCCTGTGCGAGCTGTGCCTGCGTTTAGGCGCTGAGCTGTGTTGGGTTTGAACATCCTCCCCTCTCCGGCGCTCTTATAACCCGCTGCATTTATTTTCCAGCCCGGCATATGGTGGGCGCCACTGCCCGGGTGCCACCTACGAGTACCAGGTGTGCAATGCCGAGGAGTGCCCGGGGCCCTACCAGGATTTCCGTGCCCAGCAGTGCTCCAAGCGCAACTCCTACTACACCTACCAGAACAGCAAACATTCCTGGCTTCCCTACGAGCACCACGATGGTGAGTGGCGGCAGGTCCTGGCAAAGGAGCTGTAACCAAACTGCCTCCCCTCCCAGAGGAGGCTGTGGCCATCACCAGGGGATGGAGGCTGTGCCAGCTGCACTGGTGGTGGGTGGTGGGAAGAGGCTGAGCTGGAGACTATTGTGCAACAAGGCAGGTCTTTAAAATCGTAGAATCCTAGAGCAGTTTGGTTTGGAAGCGACCTAAAAGATCACCTTGTTCCATCCCCTGCTATGGGCAGGAACACCTATCCCGGGTTGCTCAAAGCCCTGTCCAACCTGAGATGGAGCAGCCACAGCTTCTCCAGGCAACCTGTACCAGGGCCTCCCCACCCTGTAAGGGAAGAATTTCTTCCCCATATCCCATCTAACCCTGCCCTCTGTCAATTTGAAACCATTCCCCCTTGTCCTGTCCTTCCAGGCCCTTCTCCTTTGTCCCAAATCCCTCTCCAGCTTTCTTGGAACCTCTTTAGGTATTGGGAGGAGCTATAAGGTCTCCCTGGAGCATTCCTTTCTCCAGGCTGAATATCCCCAGCTCTCTCAGCCTGTCTCCATGGCAGAGCTGCCTGTTTGCTCCTGGAGCTGCAGTGGGGAACGTCTGCTCCAGGCTGGGCTGGGAGCCAGGACCATCTTGCATTGCAGTGTCATGTAGTGTGTCCCGTCCTTCTCCTAATTTCCTGAGTGTGCTGGGCAAAAATGCAGGTTCTTGAGCAGCAAATGGACGTGGGAGATCAGGCACGTGAATAACCCGGGCTTTGGGAATCTAGTGTGCTCAGGGATATGAGCTGAGATGGGTTTCATCCTTCACTCACCCTAATGTATTTCCACAAACCCCCTTTTTTCCCCCCTCTTTTTTTCCCCTTTCCTCTTTCTTTTGCCACAGATGCTCAGAAGTGTGAGCTGATCTGCCAGTCTGAGGGCACAGGGGACGTGGTGTTCATGAACCAGGTCGTTCACGACGGGACCCGGTGCAGCTACCGAGACCCCTATAGCATCTGCGTCCGGGGCGAGTGCGTGGTGAGGAGCTGCTGTGGGATTCTCCCTGTCCTTCCCCTCTCCAGGCCCGAGCTTGTGCACCTCCTTGACCCATCGCCCCTTGGGGACACGTGTTTTAGCCCTGTGGGCAGCCAAGGGGGCAGCAGGGTAATGGGCTGGGCTGCAGGGATGTAACCCTGGGCTTGTTCTCTCTTCCCCATGGGTGACAGCACGTGGGCTGTGACAAGGAGGTTGGCTCCCTGAAGCAGGATGACAAGTGTGGGGTCTGTGGGGGGGACAATTCCCACTGCCGGACGGTGAAGGGCACGCTGGCCAAGACCCCCAAGCAGTCAGGTGAGAGTCTGGGAGCAGATTTGGTCAGGCCCAGCTGGATTCACACGCGTGTCCAGTTGGAACACACCCGCTCTTTCTCTTCCTCCAACCTTCCTCCCTCCCTTTCAGTAGGTGTTTTGAAGATGTTTGAGGTTCCGGCTGGAGCGAGGCACCTTCAGATAGAAGAGGTGGAGCCGGCATCCCACAGCATCGGTGAGCACGCTGTAGTCCACTTCTGCCTTCACCCTTTTTCATCCCTGTTCTGATAATTCCCACCCAGAAGGGTCTTATTTGGGTCATTCCAGTCCTCCAAAGGCAGCGACCAGAGGGAATGATGTTGAAATATCTCCTTTCTCCTCCAGCTGTTAAGAATCAAGCCACGGGTAACTTCATCCTGAATGCCAAGGGCAAAGAAGCCAAAAGCCAAGTGTTCATTGAGATGGGCTTGGAGTGGGAATACACTGTTGAACAGGACAAGGAGAGCCTGAAAACCAGTGGTCCCCTGCATGAGGCCATCAGTGTTTTGGTAAGGCTGACTGGATGTATTCTGGGGGGTTTGGGGGTGACTGTCACAGAGAGGGCAAGTGGTCTGAGGTGGGAAGTGGCGAAAAGACTTTGGTAAAGAAAAGGTGTAGGGCACATCATTAAATCCAGGGGATGAGCCAGCCAAAAGTGAGGGATAATGGGCTGCATGCAAGAATGGCATAAGGGGGCATTGCTTGGGCACTTGCCTTTGAGTCCAGCTGCATTTGGCTCTGTGCAGCAATTGATTACGACTCTATGTCCCATTTTAGTCATGTGGCATTTGGGAGAGTTAGGGATTGAGTTCCCTGGGCACCTAGGGAAGAGCAGGTCTGCGCTCCCATCCAGCCCTGTATCCCCCCCTGGTTTTGGGCATAGGCCACTATACCACGTGGTCATTGATGACTTATTTCATCCTTTGATGGCCTCCTCTTCCCTTCCCTCTCCCATGGCATCACTCCTTCCCCCTCTCCCCCTCTGTGCCTGCAGGTCGTCCCTCAGGAGGAGGAGGTGAGGAGTAGCCTGATGTACAGGTACATCATCCACGAGGACCTGCTGCCCATGATCGGAAACAACAACGTCCTGCTTGAGGAGATGGATTCCTACGAGTGGGCCCTCAAGAGCTGGTCCCAGTGCTCCAAGGCGTGTGGAGGAGGTAGCTTTCCCTTTCATAGCAGCCTGCAGTGCGTGCTTGGGAGGGATGCTTGGGCACATCAGAGGGTGTGGGAGCCCTTCGGGGTGTCTCTGGCTTGGAAAAATTATTGCAGAGCAGTTTAGGTGAGCATTTTAGGCAGATTTCTTACAGAAGCAGGCTTACACGATCGTGTGTGCATAACCTTTGCCTGTCTATCCATGGGCCTGCTATGATTTTTGAATTCCTTGGTTGTTTTTAACTGGATTTGAGCCAAGGAATAGCGATCTTGCAGATGACCGGCTCCTCAAGTTTGCATGGACATAGGTGTGGACACACCAGGAAGTGCTGAGAGGTGCAGCAGGTAGCACACAGGGGCTCCTGGCAGGATTATTGCTGGGTTTTTCCCTCTGGGAAGAAGCATGTGTACCCATACACTGGTGTTGTGGGGTTTGCTGATGAAAGCCTTGCTTCCACATGGCCAGTGGGATCTGATCCTCAAATAACGGGCAAGATGTTATAGAATTACAGTATGTTTTGGGTTGGATGGAACCTTTAAAGGTCATCTAGTCCAACCCCCCTGCAATGAGCAGGGACACCTGCACCCGGTGGCAGCTTGAGTCTGGGGGGGGGTCCAGCATCCACGTGAGCATCCTCTGCAAGCCTGGGTGATGCACCGCTCGGGTCACACCCCAGCAGTGACATCTGAGAGCCCTCGTTCCTGCAGAATGCAGGAGAGGGACCTGGTGGGGACCCAGTGTGAACCCCACACCCGTCACCTCGCTGCCCACACTCTGCCACCCCCCAGGCATCCAGTACACCAAGTACGGCTGCCGTCGGAAAAGCGACAACCGGATGGTGCACAGGAACTTCTGTGACAACGGCAAGAAGCCGAAGCCGATCCGGCGGCGCTGTAACCTCCAGGAGTGCTCCCAGCCCACGTAAGTCCTCCCCGCCCAGCCCGAGGTGCTCCCATCTCTCTTCGGGGCTGCACTGGGAGCGTTCCCAGCACGAGCCGAGTCTCTGACGCCTCCTCCCTGTCCGTCTTCCCGCCCTGGCAGCTGGGTGGCCGAGGAGTGGGGTGCCTGCAGCCGCTCCTGCGGGAAGCTGGGGGTGCAGGCGCGGGCGGTGCAGTGTGTGCAGCGCCTGCAGGACGGCACCAACCGCACCCTGCACACCAAGTACTGCCCCGGGCAGCGCCCCGAGACCCGCCGGCCCTGCGCCCGCCTGCCCTGCCCCGCGCAGTGGAGGACGGGAGCCTGGTCCGAGGTGAGCCGGGCTGGGGGGGATGATGGAGGTGGTGGGAAGTGCCTGGGAGAAGGGATATGGGAGCCGAATGTGAAGGACAGGTGCTGATAGGGGTCAGGAGTAGAATCCTAGAATGATTTGGGTTGAAAAAGAGCTTTAAAGATTATCTAGTCCAACCCCCCTGCTGTGGGCAGGGACACCTTCTTTTAGAGCAGGTTGCTCCAAGCCCTGTCCGTCCTGGCCTTGGACACTTCCAGAGATGGAGATAAGGGCACAAGAGCCAGCGATGTTTTTCACTGGTTCACTCCAAATTAGAGAGGGGAGAACACTCTGTGCACCCCGGCGGAGAGTGTGGGGGTTTGCTGGAGACAGGGAGGGAAACCCCGTATTAGAAAGCAATATCCACCCGAGCAGTCGTAGCTGCACATACTTCAGATGCCCCTCTGGGTGCTGTCGGGGTGTGAGGGCTTCCCCCCACCCCGTCACTGACTGTCTGTCCGTCTGTCTGGGCGCAGTGCTCGGCGACCTGCGGGGAGGGTGTCCAGCAGCGGCAGGTGGTGTGCAAGGGCAGCGAGAGCGGCGGGCGCTGCGAGGGAGACAAGCCAGAGGCCATCCAGGGCTGCCACGTGGCCCTCTGCCCAGGTGAGAGGAGGGGAGGGAGCTGGAGGTGGCACTGGGATGGGGCACACGCTGGTGGGGATCAACCTTCAGGCACGTCTCCAGCCCATTGTGGCTTCAGGAGGTGCCAGCAGAGAAGGTCAGGTTGAACATCAGCTGCTGGCAGAGAACGGATTAAACACCAGCCAGAATATTTCCCTTTTTAGTTCTTCACCCTGATATTGTCTGGTTTGGGGTTTTCTGGCAGTTGGAGGGTGTGATGAGCTGAGATGGGCACCCTGGGCAGTTTTTGGGTGGCTGAGGTGCTGGGCCAACCGGGTGTTCCCTAAGGGACTTCATCGCTAAGGAAATCCCTTAAAACAAAGCAAATCCCTCACCAAAACACCCTCCCGAGCTATTTTGAGTGCCCCCAGCCTCCTGTGGCCTCTGGGCATCGTGGTGCTCTCTCAGCAGGGAAGCTCTCTGGCATCACCGCCAGCGACGCCGGTGACCACAGCCCCACCAAAGGCCAGCGGGTGCCCCAGGATGGAGCCAAAAACCCCGTTAGCAAGATCTCCTCTAGTAAGTGTCCCTGCTTGTGTGAGGGCAATGCTTCCTGCGCTAACCCTCCCGAGGCCATCTCCACCTCCCTGTGGGAAATGCAGGCAGCTGGGAGTGGGGACACATCCAGCAGTGCTTCTGGGGAGTTTCACCCTCGGCTGCTGCATCCCTGGTGCCTCTGCTCCAAAGCCTGCAGCTCGGTTGCCATCTCGTGGAGCCCAGGCTCTTGCAGTTTCTGTGTTGCATTCCTTTTGCCTCCCAGATTTTATGTCCTCTTTATCTTGGAATTTTTTTTGCTTTTTCTAGCTTTTGCCCCTTGCTCTGAGCAAGAGTCTTTCCTAACTGGGGTGAGGCGCATCCCGCTCCGATGTAGAATGCTGGTTTGGAGCATCCCTTCTTCTCTCTTTTTTTCCTCCGTGCACAGAATCCTTGAGTGCTTTGGCTTCGTTTTCCGAGTCCCTCTTCCTCCCTTGCTTTGTGGATAGGCAGCACCCTGAAAGGGCACCTCGTTGCCTTTGGGGCTGTTGCAAAGGTTCAAGAGTGGGATTTATCTTGTGCTGACGCTGCTGTCCCTCTCCAGGGGAGCCTTGCCTCGGGGACAAGTCCATCTTCTGCCAGATGGAGGTTCTGGCTCGCTACTGCTCCATCCCTGGATACAACAAACTCTGCTGTGAATCCTGTGGCAAGAAAGCCTCCTCCACCACCAGCTCAACCCCCGTCACTGGCCCCAGCGCTCCCTCGGGAATCACCGCTCCCAGCCCCGCTCCGGCACTCTCCCCATACCCCACACCGGGTGGGGACCCCACTCCAACACCTGGGATATCCAGCAGTGGTGCTTTTCCTGGGGGGCTGCCGGGCCCGAGCGAGCCGAGCAGGGGCCAGGCAGCCAGGTAACCCGCTCGGGGCCACCTCACCGCGGGGCAGGGGGAGCCTTTCTCCCTCCTTCCCTCCCTTTTCCCCCTTCTTTTTCCTCTCTCCCCCCACTTCTACTGATGGTTTTCGTGGGTGGCACTGCCAGGTTTGGAAATGACCTGGCTCCACACCCAGAAATTCCCAGGAAAACCACTTATTTCTTGTGATCCCCCTTGCCCTCCCGACTGTGGCGTTTTTCTGACAGCACCATGGAAAAAAAAGGTGAAAAGGAGCAAAAAAACACTGTGGGTAGACAGGCTGCTTCCTCCCAAGGTGCTAAAAAGATTTGGGAAGAGAGTGGCTTTAATATTGCTTTTTCCTTTCCCTACTCCAAGCAGCAACACAGGAGAGGAGGGTCCTGGCTTGGCAGCTCAGCCCCAGAGCTTAGGGGTAGCAGTGGGAGGATCCTGGGAATCTGAGGGGGCAAGGAACTGGAGGGAGGTGGTGAGGGGAGGGGGAATTGTGGGAAAATCCCCAAATGCTGCTCTGGGCTGTCCCTGTTGGGGTAGAGAGTTTTCGAAACCTGTCTGGGAGAGGAGCGTGAAAAACATAGAGCAGCTTCTGTCCTGGAGGCAGGAAATGGTCCAGGAAATTCCAATGTGAGCAATAAGAACCAGGTCAAAGACCAAAAATTGATGTAAAAAATGCCTGTCACTTGGGAGTGACTTTTTTAGCCAATACTGCCCTTGGCCAGCCTTGAGCTGATACGGATTCCCAGCCTCCCCAGGACAACCAGCCTCATCCCTGCACCTTGTACCCAGTGCCTGTGGAGCATCAACACCTGCTGGAGGGAAATGGAGGTGACTGGGAAGCAGGAAGTGGATTTTAGGGGCAGTTACAAAGAGAGGAGGGAGGAAGATTCATCTGCATCTTTTGTTGTGTGGGAAGGAGTGGAAGGGGGGTGATTAATGCCATTAAAAATTATTGTGCCAAGTACTAAAGGTATGCACAGCACTTTAGGAGCCTCAGACTGGGCACACCTTGCCAGGTGTCAGGCCAGCTCTGGGGACAGGGTCTGCCTGGAGGAGTTACAGTCCTTAAAACCTCCCCAGAATGGTGTCCCTGAGGGGGCTGCCCTGGTTTTGGTGTTTATGGCTGTGCAGCCTCCCAGCTGAGGGCGTTGGGCACCCCCAGGTGCAGTGGCAGGGGAAGGTGGGTATCCATGGTGGTGAGCGCTGCCCTAGGGAGGAGGACTTGGGCACAGAGATGGAGTCTGGGGAAGGCAAGGCTTGGCAGATAGACCAGTTTGGCATTGCAAAGAGGAGAACATGTTGGCAGCACGTGTGTGGTGTGGGTGCGTCCGCTGGCCCTGTTGGTGCTGCTTCCCTGGTATCCAAGGAGCAGGATGGGCATCCCTAGGGACAGTGTCTGTAAGCTCTTCAGGTGTCTGGGGCTTGCTGGTAAAGTGGCCTGGGGTGACTTTTCTGGTCTGGCTTGGATTGCAGCAGGGGAGGGGTTGAGATACCTGCTTTGGCTGAAATGGATGGAGACCCCTCTGTATTCCTAGCTGGACACTGCCACACTCCCTCACAGCTTCCCAGCAGCATAAAAAGGGCTGAAGAGATGTGAAGAGGGTGGCTTGTTCACCCTACTGCCCCCAGATCGCTGCCAAGTCACGGCTGGACACACATTTATCTAACTACTCTCAAAGCACCTGAGGCTGCAGGTCCCCTGCTCCCGGGTGCTGCCCTTTGGCATTAGGTGGGCATCCCAAAAGATAGGAAAAAAAAGCCCCCCATCTGTCTGAGCCAAGCAACTGGCACACCTTGTGGGAGTGGGCACGTGGAGGGTGCCTGTGGGGTGCCCAGATCCAAGTCGTGCAGGTATTGGCACCCACAGGACCCACGAGATGCTGTGGGTGTGCCGGGGCGGGATTCATCCCTCAGATTGCCGTGCCCCTTGCCAGCCTCTCCACTGCCCTCCACGGGAGTGCCAGCATTTATTTATTGTGCCAAAGATAATGCTTCGTTTACTGTCCAAGGAGCATAAGAAAAAGACCCCCTTCCCCCTCAAAAATGGGCTGTGATGTTCTTCCTCCCAGATTCCCAGCTGCACCCCCAGCCTCCCCCCTCTTCAGTGCTGGCCTGGGCATTGGTGCTTTATTGCATTAGGAATATTTGCAGTGGTTCCTTGCTGTACCTCGGAGCAGGGGCCCCTCACACCCCACAGCTGGGGTCCCCTGGGGGAATTTAGGCAAGGGGGGCTGCGCTGCAGGTGCTAACCCTGACCTCAAGCTGAGAGGTGGGGGAGATTCAAAGCAGGGTGTGATAATTCCCCCCCACACACACTGCTCTGGGGTGGTGATGCTGCAGGGCTGGCACCCAGCACTGGGTGTTTCATGGAATCCTGGAATGGTTGGGGTTGGAAGGGACCTTAAAGCTCATCTTGTTCCACCCCCTGCCATGGGCAGGGACACCTTCCACTGTCCCAGGTTGCTCCAAGCCCTGTCCAACCTGGCCTTGGACACTTCCAGGGATGGGGAATTTATTCCAGCTGAGGGCAGGCTGAGCTTGGGTAGCTCTGGCTACACAGGGATTTGATCCTGTCTCCAGGAGGAGAGGATGACTCTAGTCCCCTAGTCCCCTTCATCCTCCTGGGCCTGGCAGAGCCATCGTGTCATTCCTGTGATATAACCCTTGTCCAGTGTTACCACGATGTATAAAATTTTGTACATATGAGATTCAGAGCTTTTTAACTTTTAATATTTATTAATTTTGTTGTTTTTTTTTTTCTTTTTGGAACTCTAACATAATGTAAAAAAAGAAAAAGAAATCCACATAAAGATGTCTTGCTGCTAATTTATTTGTGGGGTGGGTGTGTGAAGGGGGAAATACAAATGGTTATTGAAATGGATTTATTTTACGTTATTTCAACCCAGCCACTCCTCTTTGTCAGCCAGAATTTCACATTGCTGTTTTGAGCAGGGGAAAAACCTCTATGTATATACATATACACACACATGAATAGGTGGTTTGGCCACTGCAAAAATAAATATTGATGTGTTGCTAGTTCAGGCCAAAAAGCTGCTCCTATATGATGCTGAACACCAGCTGCTTTTGCCGGGGTTTTTAGGTAACTCCTCGTGCAAGGCTTAGTGCAGCCTTGGTTTTCCCATCTTTTGGATGCTCCACTCCATCCTTGAAGCAGAAGCACGGTGCTGGGAGAAGAGAATGTGTTCTGTGTGCCCAGGGTTGCGTGGTGGGTGCACTGTCTCACCCCATCACTGGCAATGAATGAGTGGAGAATCATGGAATGGTTTGGGTTGGAAGGGACCTTAAAGATCATCTTGTTCCAACTCCCTTCCACTAGACCAGGTTGCTCTGAGCCCCATCCAGCCTTGCTTTGAACCAGGAATGAGTCTCCAGCTCTGGCCACTTGGCTCCTGCCCGGGCAGAGCCGTCTCCCCGCAGCTCAGGGCCCCGCGGTGGCAGAGAGGTGCCGGTGGAGGTGCTCGAGGAAGTCGGCTTGGGACTGTGGCAGGACACGGTGAAGCACGGCTGTGGGGATCCAGCCCTGTGGGAGAGAAACCCCCCCCAAGGTTGGTCCTGCCGGCCAAAGGGAGGAGGAGGCTCTGCACAGCGGAGTGTGCACCCCTCGCTGTCCCTGCCCAGGTGGCACTTGCCTTCAGGTCCATGCTCAGGAGCCAGGTGAGGCGGGTCCGGCCGGGGTCCCCCGCCAGTGGCTGCAGGACGATGCAGCTGAGCCGGGACTCGGCCCTGCAGGGGAGCAGGCGGTGAGGGTCCCCCCCGGGGGGCACACGGGGGCACGGAGGTCCCAGAGCAAACCCAGCGGGGGCGCAGCCCTTGGCGTGCCTGCCTTGCCGTGCTCGGTGCCCACGTTCAGGGCTGCAGCGGTGACCCCCCCCTGCAGAGACACGATACCCCGTGACGGTCCTTTTGGGGGGAAAGGGGGGCTACCTTACCTGATGCAGCCTTCCTGCGGGGGCAGCGGCTCGGCGCGGGTGGCAGTGCCCACCAGGTAGGTGGCCGCGCCCCTCCTCCCGCGGTGCCGCACGCTGACCAGGTCCCGCCGCCCCACCAGGTTGCCCGGGCTGGGAGTGGTGACTTCGTGTGTCACCAGCGTGTCCGTCCCGACGCGCCGCAGCACCTGCCGGAGCAAGGGACATGCCAGGAATTAGGATTAGGCTCCCTGTGGCTGCCCCTCCGGGGACATTTCTGACACCCCCTCACTCCTCCCCCTAAGCCACTGTGGGGACAGCGGCGTGGGCAGAAGCAGCAGCAAGAAGAGGTTTTTGGGGCTGGCACCTGGTAATAATTAAATTCCGGTCTCCAAGAGGGAAAAGGGATGATTTTGGAGCTTTTTGGTTTTTTTTTATTGTTTAATCTGTGATGGGAGCTTCTTGATGCTGTTTCTTTTCCAGAAGGCACAGGTAAGTGGTAGCAATAAATAAGCAGAGGCTGGGGAGCATCTGAACCAGCCTGGGTGAGCAAGGGGAGACTTTCTGGGGCTGGCAGCTTCCTTAGGGATATGCTGTAATTTGGGAACTGAGAAAGAAGCCCAGGACAACACAAGCTTCCTACAGCGTGAGTATATTTGATTTTGCCTCTTTTTTTTGAGCTATCTGATTCCTCTGACAGTAGAGTCTGAGTAATGTCAGATTCCCTGATATGGAAAAACCTCTGTGAACTGGCACCATGAGGAATAGAGAGCTGGGAAATGACACATTTACAATGCCGTGCCAGCAAAGCGCATCTCCTCTCCCTGGGGTGATATCCTGCTCTTGCAGGAGTGAGGAATTAGCTTTAAACCTCCAGCAATATTAAAACTGCCCTTAAATATGGGGGGTTTTGGGTGCTGGCAACCCTGGTAATGGAAATTTTTGGACCATCTGCCCATGATGGCATCTTGCCCCACCTTACCTTCACCTGGCTGAGGTTCGGGTTCCACTGGGGCATCTGCTCCATCCTCTCAAACAGCTCCTGGTGCAGCTGTGCCACCGGCAGGGCCAGGACCACCTCTGCCCGAAACACCCTGCCGAGCCCGGGGAGGGCAGCGCTGGACACGGCGGCACTGGTGTCCTGGGGGAGCAGAGAGCCCCAGTCAACCCCAAAAGTGGCACATCTGAACCATGCCACTATAGCCCTGGAAGTGCTCAAGGCCAGGTTGGACAGGGCTGGGAGCAGCCTGGTCTAGTGGAAGGTGTCCCTGCCCATGGCAGGGGCTTGGAACTGGGTGGTCTTTAAGGTGCCTTGCAACCCAAATCGTTCTGTGATTCTGCGAAGCAGATCCTCCCTCCCTGGACTAATTTCTCCCCTTGAGAGCTTTTCTGGCACGAAGCAGCCAAGGACGGAGGTGGTGAGGGTTTACCAGCACGGGCTCTGCCTGCTAGCTGGTGTGCTGCTGCAGGATGCTCAGTGCTCGCTGCAGGGCCCTTTCTCCCTGGCGGATGTAGGAGAGGTCCACGCTGGAGGACTGGCTGGGGCTGACACCTCTGGTGGGCTCGGGGCAGGGAGCTGCAGGAGGAAGGCAGAGCAATGTGAAACACCCTCCCAGCCCCGCTTTGCCTGTGGACATGGCTGTGGGTACAGAAGTACAAAGGAGCTGGAGCAGGAGAGGCTTGCTTACCCAAAATCTTGGATCTTCCCATGCAACTGGTCCCCTGCTGGGCAGAGGTATGGCTTGGTCCAGAAAACCTTGCTGGCTTCCATCTGCTGTGTCTGTGCTGACTGCTTGGAAAGCTCTTTGAAATTGCTTTCCAAAGCAATTCCCAGTAACACCGTGGTACAAATTACGCTTTGCTTGGGTATTACTAACATCACACAGGCAGCCTTTGGACCGAGCCACACTTTGAAAAAAGCAGATAAATCTGCCAATTTTCAAGTCTTTAGGTAAGTGGTGGAACTAGGGACACAGCAGGAGTGCAGCAAAACACGGGTAAGTGCCTGTGACCTCTGCTAAAAGCTTTGGCTGCCTCTACAGTGAGCAAATGCTATTTACCTTCCCACAACCTCAGGCTCTCCCACTAACCCAGCTTGCCATCAGCACAGGGAATGCTGTTAAGCCAGCAGAGAGCTGGAGACCAGCCCAGCAGTGAGAAGACACTTTGTCCCCCAAAACACGGGTCCAATTTTGCGGGAGGGGTTGCATTTTAATGCACATCCCTCCATCATGTGCTGCAAGGAGGCTGTGAGCAAGGCTAGGAAAGGTGGGACCCACAGGCCCGGGCTGAGCTTACCTGTGTCCTTCCCCATCAGCTTCTGAAGATAATGAGGAATTTTGGAAGGCAGGCGATGGGATCCTCTTGCCACCAGCCCTCTGATGTCCTTCTGTACTGCTGCAACAGCTGCTGCCTTCAAGCCTAAGGGGAGAGGCGGGTGGGCTTTGGTGAGCACAGAGCGGGCAGGGATGATTCCATGGTGCCCCACAGCCCTGCTGGGAGGTCATCTGCCCTGGGCCCAATACCCCGTGCATGATACAACACAGGGGGACCATAGATGTGACATTCCTAAGGAGACACCCATCCGATGCAGACTTGACATGTCCTTTAGGCCCCTCTGTCCTGCCTGTTTTTCCTGAGCTTGGAGGGGAGGTGAGCGGGGCTTACCGGGCAGGCGGCGGAGGGGATCGTGGGCGATGCCACAGCACAGCTTGACGGTGGCTTGCAGCATGGCAGGAGCAGGGAGACCTCCGGGAACGCGCTGCATCCCGCCGTGCCTTTATAGCCCGCCCGAAGGACGGCACCTGATGATAGGAGCACGCTGCCAGACAGCAGCTGGGAACAAGGAGCGCTCAAGGACAAGGCAGGCGAGAGGAGGGGCCGGAGGGAGCAGCCAGACTGCTCTCTGGATGTGCACTCCCTGCCTTTCTTCCTGCCCTTTGCAGGCAGCTATGAATGAACTCCAGGGCGTGGCCAAGAGGGGACACTTGAGTGGTCCCCAGTGCCACTTTATTGAGGACTGTGGGGGCAAAGGCAAACTGGTGGCACTTACAGGGAGGGAGGGATGGGTTAGGAGATGACAGCAACGTGGCTTTGCTCTCAGGGAGCGTGGAAGCTGCTGTAAAGCCATGCTCATGGAAAATGGGTGCTTCCTACGAAAACTTCATAGATGTGGTGGTGGTGATTGATGCTGCTGCAATCCCTCGAACAGTGCTTTATTTTCCTCTTCCCTACTTCACTCCCTTCTAAATGTCTCCTGCAGGCCTCGGGTGCTCACAGTGATGGTGGGATCACTACATCTTTTGGCAGGAAGTTCCTCAGTCCTTCCCCTTGTGTTTTTAATGGCCCCTCTTAAAAGGTTAAACCCAAACCCAACCATGTCACTCCTTAAAATACAACCACACTGGATTCCTCTGGATCTTTGCAGCACTTGTTTAACAATTTCATTGTTAAACACTTGTTTTTATAAATGATTGCAAATTGCAAATCATAAAAGTCATCCAGTGTGTAATAATTTCAGTTGTGTATAGCTTTTCTGACTTGCTACAGTGACTGCACACCACATCTTAATTAACCATGTGTCAACGTCAAGAGCAAAGTACATAATATTAAACTCCACATTTTCAAGTGCTTTGATTTTTGCCACGGAAAAGCTCTTCCACCTGTCTGTTGCCAAGTGGTTGGATGCTTCCCTTTCACATAGCAGACCTAGGGCTCACTGCACCTTCCATCTGTGAGGCTGCAACAGCCAAAATATTTGGGCAGAGAAGGCTTTTCAGCTTTTAAAGGGATAGGAAAGACCTCAAGGGTTGCAACTGGTGTGGTTGGGGTCAGTGGGTTTCTTGCCAGGCCAGGTTGGACAGGGTTTGAAACAAGCTGGTGTGGTGGAGGGTGTCCTGGCCATGGCAGGAGGGTGGAATGAGGTGAGCATAAAGGTCCCTTTTGAACCAAACCATTCTGTGATTCTTTGATTCTATGAGATGGGCCAGAGCAGGTGTTTGTCCCCGTGTCACCCTTTGTACCCTTGTCCCACACAGAATTGGGACTCTGGCTGTCTCTTCAAACACTGTTTCCCTATAGAAAGGAAAATACTCGCATTCTTGGCCAAGATGGAGTGGGTAGAACAAATTTCTAGGAAAAGATCAGCTTTTTTCCCATGGGTTTTGGACCTGATGTGCCAGAGGGTTTTATCCCAGCCCTGGAGACTTGTTAGCTCGGCTCAGCCAGTTCCCAGGCTCCCTGCCTGACTCATTAGCCCCGGCCCTGAGCTTTCCCCCCCCCAGCTTTTCCTGCAGGGATAACCTCATGGCACAGCTGCTGTGCTTTGCCCAGCTGTGTCCCACTGCAGCTTCACAGCTTTTTCCCTCCGTCCCTGATGGCTGGGCAGGTTATAACAGCAACCCTGCCGGTTGCTGCTCCATGGATGCTCCACTGCTTACCCACAGTCTGCTCCAGCGTGACTCCAGGGGGCTGTGACTCCCAGATAAGTGTCCCTGTGCATGTCCCAGGCTTTCAGGGAAGCCTTGCAGGTTTGTTGGCGTGATGTGCATGGCCCAGGGCAGCTGCAAGCTCTGCAGCAGAGGCTTGGGATATGCAACTGCAGCTCTACGTGAGGTTTGCTGTTGCCACAGTTCGGCGCTGGGATTCACACCACTGCTTTGGTGAGTTCCAAACCACTTTTTCTTTTAATTTTTCACGGAGCTTGGCAAGTCACTGGGGCCCAGCAGTGAGGAAATACAATCTTTTTATTGCAAGCTGCCGAGGAAGGAGAGAGCAGTGGCTGATCAGAGTTCTGCCCCAGCGCTTTAGACTCGGCTCCCAGGGAGAGCTGCTCCCTGCCCACGGTCTGTGCTCTCACACACGTTCCCCTCAATTTTGTGCACACTTTCTCGTGTTAGTTTTGTCTCTGGAGCCAGCTGGGATAGACAGGCAGATAATGTTTTATCGCCCTGTTTGGTGAGTGGTGTCCATGTGCTCTCCTGAGGGCTGTACGAGGTGTCCTGGGAATGGTGTGGCTCGCGGGGGAAAAGAAAATATGGGAAATCGTCTGTGATGGCAAGCCTGGAGGCCAGGAGAGGGTGGCATTGCCACCCAGAACCCAGCTCAGGGCGGTACAGGGCTGCCAGGGGTCAGCCCTGATCCATCACAAAGGTCCCTCTGCGTGCCGATTGCGGGACACCCCTGCGGGGCCGGAGTGGAGGGGCTTTGTCCTGACATCTCTATGAGATTTGGCTGCAGCCACTGGAGGTCACTGCTGATCTGCAGCTCCACGTGCGAAGCCACTCCTGGAGAGGCGGCAGGAGCCCTGCTCCAGCTCCTGGCTCTGGGCTGCTCTGCCTCTCGCCCCTTGCAGGGTCCCTCGGAGCCGGGTAGCGGCTGTCCTGGGGGATCTCCAGCAGGAATCAGATCTGGCACCCCACCCCTCCCTGTATATCCCTTTCCTCTGCTCGTGGATGAAAGGACCGTTGGGAGGCTGAGGGAGATGGGGTGGCTATCCTGGAGAAAAGGAGGCTCGGGGGGGGGGGGGGGGGGGGATTTTCGTACCCCCTACAACTTCCCGACAGGATGGTGGAGTCAGATGGGGGTCGGGATCTGCTCGCGGGGAACAAGTCACAGGATGAGAGGAAACAGCCAGGGGACGTTTAGACTGGACGTGAGGAAAAATTTCTTCCTGGAAAGGGCTGTCAGGCACTGGCATAGGCTGCCCAGGGCAGCAGTGGAGTCACCATCCCTGGGAGGATAAAAGATGTGTAGATCTGGCACTTGGGGACATGTCCAGGTCCCTTTCTGCCCACTTAGACTGAGGTGGCTCCACTCCACCTCCATGGGCACAATACTGCCTGTGCTGGGTGACCGAGTCTGAAAGGTCCCTTCTAGGAGGGTTTGGAGCCATTGCCAAAGAAATGAGTGACTTCACTAAAAGGCCCATGTTCCTTCACTGCCTTTGCTGTTTGAGCATCCACCCAGGACTGGGGAAAAAAATCTTGGGAAGGGGCCTGGAAAACCTGAGGGGTTTGGTGGCTCAGCAGGAGAGCAAAGCTTCCAGCAGCAGTGCAAACTGGTAAAATCTCTATTGAAACATCATCACCATTTCCATGGGATCTGGAAACACATTCTCAACTCCAATCCCAGCTATAGGACCTGGTCCCTCTGGCAGGATAAGACTAGAAGTTCAAAAATTAGGGTAAATCTCAGCTGAATGACAAATCTGCCTCTCTGAATCTCCTTTAGAGAAGGAGAAAGAGAACAATGGAAAAGGTCCCAAATGGCAAGAGGGTGCTTCTTGGCTTTGTGTGAGGAGCAAACACCAAGGCTGAGAGGTTTGGGGTCTGAATGGTCCCCCCCAAACAGCTGGGAGAGCAGTGAGTTTGGATAGGGACTGTGCAGGGGTCATAAGGGTAGTGCCTGCCAGGAGGGGTTGTAGCATCTCATGGGGGTGTAAAACACAGCTGAGCCAGCCCAAATCCTGCCCTGAGACTGGAGGAGTGGGAAATTACAGGCTGCTCCTGGTGAAAGGGTGAGGCTGGGGAGCCAGTGGGACTCCGAGCTGCTATCAGAGCTGCAAAGCTGAGCAGGGCAACAAGGGTGATACAGCTCCCCCCTCCCACGGGCACACAGGGATCCCCCTGTTCAGACCCGAGGGCAAATCCCCTCTCTGTGTCCTTGAGGCCAGCTCTGAGAGACTGCCCTGTAATCAGCAGAGCCTTGGTGCAGGGGAAGCCCTGATTTTAAGCAAAAGTCTTGGATGGCCTCCAATACCTCTGCAGAAGTTGGCAGGAGAGGTAAGGCAGGGTCTTTGGCCCCATGGGAACCCCTCTTGCACGGTTGTTGTCATCTCTGAGGGTGCTCTGGGGGGTTCTAGGAGCAGAGCTGGCCCTCACACCCCTGTTCTGGAGCCCTGATGGGGCATTTAGCCACATCTCTGGGGCACCTTAAATACAGACCTAGACAGTCCCTGGAGAGCTTTGGCCATGCTGTTCCTGCCAGAAGTGCTTCTCTCTTTTTCCCATCTGTGTGTCCAGGGAAGTTATAAGTGTCAAACAGAGAAAATATAAAAGCACATGGCATTTATTTCCCTACATAACCAAAGCACTGGTAATTAGTGTCCCCAGATGGAAACCCAAACAATTTTCTTCCCCCTAAACCAGGAGACTCAGTGCTACATTGTCAGGCTCATAATTCAAAGAATATACTCAATGTGTCTCTTTTTTTCCTAAAAAAGACATTATAACACACAGAAAAGGGCTAAAAATATTTCAAATGCACATTATTATCAGGGAGGAATGAAGAAATACTGCTTTTTCTTCATGAGCCTCCCTCCAGTGCTGGAGAGGTGTTGGGTGGTGGTGGCTGATAACAATCCAGCTGGAGAGCAGAGTGCAAAGCAGAAGAACAATATTTACTCGAAGCTAATTGTGATTTTCATAAATGGTCGCCAAAAGAGCCCAAATATCAGCAGAAAAGGGAAGCTGCTGTATCTCTGTTGCTGGAACGCTGCCTTCCACCATGCAGGGTGGAGGGAATCTTATCTCCATCTGCTGCCTCGATTAAAAGAGAAGGGGAACTGCTGTTCAGGAGATAAGAGAGGCCAGAGGCTTCTCCATTAATATGTAAACTTTGGATCAAAAATGAAGATGAGAGGCTGCAGGCAGGAGTCACCTCTGGATTGATGGGTTTTGAGTCTGCAGGCACCAGCAGAAGGCACATCTAGTATGTGCTGGTCTTGATAAGGAGGAGGAAGAGGATGGGATGATGGGATGGAGGTGTGATCCCACTATTTAACTTTCACAGTTTTGGTTGAATTATGTCCACCCTGAAGGATGTTTACTTGAAGTAACAGCTTTGTAATGTTGGTCCAAACTGTTCTGTGATAGATTCTCACATCCAGGAGGGACCATGTCAGTCAAACAGGATCTTTTGCCCTCTGTGGCAGCCACATCTGTATTTGCCCAATAGGGTAGGCTGCACCACCAATTACTCATTAAAAAATAATAATACCCAAGGTTGGAGAACTTTTAAAACACCTTGGCAGCTTTGAAATCATTTGGTTGCCCAGCTGAGTGTGGCTGACTTCAGATCCAGCTCTGTGTGCCACCTGTTAGAGCTGTAATTTCTCCATTTTCATTGTTTTCACTCCGTCCTAGGAGTCCTGATAATCTCAAAACACCTTTTCAACCCACTCTTGGCAAACACTAAAATGCTTGTGCCCTTATGGGTTTTAATGTCAAGGTGTTTTTAATGACCTCAGATGATTCCTGCAGTCCTGCCTATCCTAGAAGGAAAGAACACGTGGAAAAATTCAGGTGCAGACACTAGAGCAGGAAGCCACCAACCACATCCCTGGCAACAGAGTGCAAATTTCCCCCCAGGAATAAGAGGATGGCTCCAAGCTGTGAGAGGGGAGCTGGGTTGCCTTTGCATGCAAATAAATGCAAACACCTTCATTTAAGCCAGAAAGGACATATAACATTTTGTCTTGCTTCTCTGGCTCTCTCCCTGAGAATTATTCTGAGGTGAGTATCTCTGAGGATGCATTAAAAAAAAAGTTGAAAAACATCACACCTCCTCCAGAGATATTTTTTAACGTGTTCCTGGACAATTTGGCAGCCACAAAAGCTGTGTGTTAAAAGAGGGTCATTCACTCCCTCCACTGGGAATTTCCTCCCAGCTGGCTGCAGATGTGCTCCCTCCTGACTGCTTTGATAAATGGGGAGAAAATGGGGCATTTGGGGCTGTAGGTTTGTGGGAGGGTTTCTTGGGCTGTGAGAAATCATGGCCCTGTTTTTCACAAGGATCAGCCCGGCTTCCAGCAAGGCCTTCCCCATGAAGGGGAAGAGTCCAGGTGGGGGAAATCTCAGCCTTTGGGGTGTGAGGGCAGGTTTGGCTCCTCCAGCCCCGAGCGAGGGGTGCCTCTGGCTGTCCTGCAGCGTTTCCTCTTGTGGCCTCTTCTGGTGTCCTTGTTGCAGCATTTTTCTGATTCAGAGGTGGTTGTGGAGGGGTTGGGCAGGGCCCTTGGCAGCTCATGTTGGGTTCACAGGGGTGTGTGGCAGAGACAAGGCACTTCTCCAGTCCCGTAGTGCTCTGACTCACCTATTCCTTTTCCAGTGTCAGCAGGAGGTTGCAGACCTTGGAGTTGGTTTGGTGCAAGGCGAATTCCCTCCCGGGCATGGTGCCACGCCTGCCTTTTCGAGTGGTGCTGCTCTGGCTCCCAGCAGACTTGGAAACCGTGAAGATTTCTCTGTGGGACAAGGGAACAGCAAGATGGTCAGGAGGCTGTGGTGGTGGTGGACCTCGTTCCAGACCAGCATACTCACCATCTCCTGGTGGTCTAGGGGTGGTGCTTCCACCCATGTTGTCATGAACTTGCACTGTCCTTCCCCTGTTCCTACCAATTTCGACCCACCCTGCTCAGTAAGTGTACAGCCATTAATTCCCACCTTCCCCCAAGAAATCCTCCTTTATCTCAAGCACATCATGATGTTTGTACAGTATCTGACTGTACCCAGGGACTTACCTGTATGGGACCTGCTCCTCTCTCAGCTGCAGGCACATGAGCACGGGGCTGCTGGAAAACCTCAGCGTGGTGTCAAAATGGATTGAGGTCTCCACCTCTGTCTGGCTCCTCAGGGTGGCTTGGAGGAAAGGGGAGTCTAGTTCTGCCTGGAAATCCATGGAGAGGCTTCCCCTGTGGGATAGAAGCACATGAGCCTGATCACTGAACAACGGCCCTGTGCTGGGCACCAAGCAACTCCATCAACACCATAATTTGAGGTCTGGCCATGGAAAAGTGTAACCAGCCCCACCAGGAGAAGAGCTGGGGACTGTGGAAAGCCACACTGGTGCTGGGTGCTGAGACCCCAGGTACCCCCATCCCCACAGCCAGGCAGTTCCTCACCCTCTCACCTCGTGTTGATGCTGGTTTTCAGTTCCTGCTCCCAAATGCCCACGTCCATGTCGGCTGAAATGTCAAGTCCCAGCCCACCCTGGAGTTTGATGGTCACTTGTAGACCAGACTGCAGAGGAATGACCTGGGAGATGGAGAAGGCAGAGCTTGCTGTGACTGGGCACTGCCCTTGCGTGAGTGGCTCACACCGGCAGTGACTTGTGGCTGCTGGAACCATTTATCCCGAACCTGCAGCAGGGTCTGCAAGGGAGGAACTCCAGCCATGCCACTTATGTCCCATGGCAAAGCCATCCATCCATCCTGCTGTTTACCCAGATGCATCCAGCAGTGCCACCTTGCTCTTATCTGTGGTGAGTAACAACCACTGGCTCACTTTATGGGATTCACTAGGATTTGGCATGGAGGCAGGTCACTTCTTACCCCCCATCCAGTACCTGGTGATGATCCATCAGCAGGAGGTTCCCTTTGACCACACTTGTGGGCTCTCCACTGCTCAAGAGGACCTTGGCCATTAGGTCTGTGTACCCCTGGAAGAAGACGATCGGCCGCAGCTGAACATCGAAGAAGGTGACAGACATCCCGGCCATGAGCTCCGGCTCCTCTTCCCCATCCGAGATGTTCTCTCCCATCATCGACTCCATCCCTTGTGCTTCAATGGTGACCTAGAACACGGAGGTGGGACATGTGTGAGCGGCACAGAGCAAAGCTAGAGAGTGCTTTGCGTCCCACAGCACTATTTGAGTTGCTATGCTTGTCCAACCCTTGGGTAGGTGCCCTTTGGACTAGGAGATCAGCCTGGAGTGGGTTGGATGAGGCATCCAACCTGAGCACCCTGAGGTATCAGTGTCAAATCCTCTGTTTTTCGGGGGAGCGGGGGGCTCCTTTCTCCAGAGCGGGTGTGTCCGGCTTCACTTTGGTGATCTGGGTAGGAATGTACCTGTTTCTGGGGATCTCTGCACACTGAGTGCAGAGGTGAGGTCAGGCACCCTAAGAAGGTTAGGAGGGGACACAGACAGGGCAGTGGCACCACGGGATTGATGCTGTCACCCCCACCCCTCTCCCAGCAGTGCACCTGAGCCGCGCGGAGCCGCCGGCCGCGGCTGAGCAGCGAGAACTCAGAGATGCTCTTCCTCAGGAATCCTCCCTCCAAAAACAGCAGGTCCAGCCCGAAGGTGGAAAGCAGGTCCTGGGTGACTGAAAGGCAGAGAGATGCCCATAAGGATCCCTGGACAGCACCTGGCACACCTGGTCTGGTGGAAAGTGTCCCCGCCCACGACAGAGGGGTTGGGACTAGATGAGCTTTAAGGTCTCTTCTAACCCAAACCATTCCACGATTCTATGATCTCTCTTTGCACGTGAGTCACTGAATGGTGGTGACTCCCAAATGCTCTGAGAGCAGCAGCAGCAGGGCTGAAGGCTGACGTGGAAATACGGAGGCTGGAGGTGGGATGTGCAAAGCTGGGATCGTGGTGAGTGCATCCCCTGCACCCGGTGTCACCATATCAGTGCTCAGCAGGACAGGGCGGTTTCTTGGAAAAGCTCCTCCAGAATGATGACAGGAATTGGGAGGTCACTAAAAGCAGGATGCTGGTGGCTCCTTGGTAATTTGTAAGCCTCCTCAATAGAGGGTACAGCTGGTACTGTAGGGATGGATCTCCTATGTTGGTCATTCTATATCTGATAAAACTACATGATCCAGAGGGGAAAACTCTGCACCTTCTCCTCCCATTCCTGCAATATTTGAAGGATTCAGCATTGTAAGGTTGTTTTTTATTTCCCAGGTGTTGGCTATTCCACTCTCACTAACCCCCACAAAGCTAGACTGAGATAATTTGAAGAGGGACAGAAATGAGAGCTGAGGGATGAAGAATTAAGCAGTCATTTAACAATTGTTGCTTGTTGCAGTCTCTCTGAAGTTTGATTTTTTTTTGTTTGTTTCTTAATCTCCGTATAAGGATTCTCCTTTTTGAAGAGCTTTTTTGAAGGAACTGAAGAATGGAGTGAAATATCTTGACTTAGGAAAAGCACAGAAACTCCCACCTACTATTTACCATTGGTTTCAGGTCCAGCTGAAGCTCCTCTTTCAAATTAGTAGGATTTGGGAAAAGTATGTGGCACAGCCTAGCCCTCCTGCTGTAGGGGTGTTAGAGAAGGTATGTATGTATCTCAGTGATGGCAGCCAGCTGGTGTTGGGGGACGTGCTCAGAAACCTCACACAGAGATTTTGGGGCATTCTATAGAGTTTAAGCCTTTCCTGGGAGCTGCCTTTCCCTGCCAGCCCCTCCTTTAGCCCTCTGAGGGGACCACGGGATCAATGTCCTCTGTGCTGTCACCTGTCAGAGGTCCTGAGAAAGAAGAGGAGGTGCCAGCTTTCGAGAAGAAGTTGTAGTTATTTATCTGCGGGACTCCCATGATGTCTTTCATTATCTTCCTGGAAGCAAAAGGGAAAGGGTATGTCAGCACTGGGAGGGAAGGAAGAGAAAATGTCAGTGGTCGTTACACAAGGCTGTGCAAAGGAGGAAATATAAATTTCCAAGGTATTTCTTTTGGCTGCTGACTGCCCAGAGCAAAAAACCGAAATGAGCAGACATGGGCTACCCTGGAATTCTCCTCTCCTCTGGTTTGTTAGGATAAACCAGTCAGACATTATAGTGCAGCTTTTGTTTAGCCCTGAAAAATGCGAGTGCTTGGTTGATTTTGTGCAGATAGGAAGATTAATGCAGAGCACCCTGATACACCAAGGTACAAACTGTGCACTGCCCTGGCAGCCAGAGCTGCCTTGGCCTCCAAGGACTCTGCTGAAAACACGAGCCTGGGTCCCACTGTCACCGGGCAGGACGAGGAAGGATGCTGGGTTCTGGCTGGCTGGGTGGCATCTGCATCCCTTTTCTTCCTCCAGGAATTCCCAGGCAGCTCCCATGCCAGCCCCAGGAAGTGTTGGTGGCACATTTTAAAGGCATTCTGGTCAAAAACTACAGATGGAGTGTGCGGGAGAAGGAGGAAAACAGTGATGTAGAGCAGGGGGAGAAAACACAACCTTCCCCTCCAGGCCCACCTTGCTGGGTGGTGGTGGGCACGCAGGCTGTTCTGGACCTTCAGCAGCAGCAGTTTTGCCATCTCTGTCTCCATCTCCTGGGTGGCCAGCAGGATGTTGATGACATCCATGGGTGAGGGGTGGTTATCCAGGAGTATTTCTGCAGCAGCCAGGCGACAGGTTTTTTCGTAGCTCTTCCTCTTCTCATGGAAGATCCTCCTCATTGCTCGTTTCACCTGATGCAGGAGGGAAATGAAAACGGTGCTGTGATGTGCAAAAGCACCCCAACAGCTTGGTTTTGGGTGGGAAGAGGACACCAAGCCTTGGCAGCTTTGCTTCCTACCTCGTTGGAGATGTTCTGAGCGGGGAATCGCCGCAGGGCAGAGATGGCCGTGGTGGTGACAGCAGCAGGACCCTCCTCAGCGTGCTCCAGGAGGGTGGGGATGGTTCCAGGGAGCATCGCATTCCCCAGGGCCAGCAGGTAAATGACCACCTCAGGGTCCTCCTCGGCGCTTCTCAGCCCCCTGAGGATGGTTTCCACCCCACGCTCCACCTCCTGCTCGGGGTTTGCAGGAGGGCAGAAGAGGAGGAGAGTGAGGTGAGGGGAAGGAGACATTCTGGGCATGCCTGGAGCTGGGGGCTGCCTGAAAAAGCCAAGCATGAGGGTTTGCAGAGACCCACCTGCAGCCCACACAGCTTCTGCTGGCACAGCTTGCCCACCAGAGAGCCCACGGCAACTATCCCTGTCTCCCAGATCTCAGGGGCCAGTTGCTTCCCATCCAGCTTGTCCTGGGCATCAGGAAAGGGGTATTATTACGCAGGGGAAAAAAACGGGGGAAAATAGAGAGGAGGAGTATGTTTTACCTCTTATCTCAGAGCGTTCATCACAAAAGTAAGGAAAAACTTGCTCTTACCTGCCTTGAAGGAGGCCATGCACCGTTTAATTGGATAAACCACTGATTTTCCACAGTAGTTTTAATTAAGCTTTTATTATGTGTAATGTACTGACATGAGGCATTCTCTGCTGAAAGCTTTTCCTCTAAGGACCATCAGCTCCCATCACCAGTGTCCCATTAAACACACATAAAATAACCCCATAAGCAGGAATATTTATTTCTACAGAAACATACTTTCCTTTTTCAGGAAAACATGCTTGCTGCTCCCTCCTGCATGAAACAGGGCATGGATCCATCCCAGATGCAGGACCCTCAGGGAGGGAAAAGAGATGTCCATACTTACTAAGACCAGGTGGAGAAGCTCTCCTGAAGGCCGGGGAGAGAAAGCTGCTGCATAGAGAAACTTCTCCAGGAGGGACTTGGGCTCCTCCTTGCTGAAATCCAGGAATTCTGAGAGAGCTGCCAAGGAAGCCGTTGACTGTGCAGCCACTGCTGCCTCCACGACGAAGGGGCTGGAGCAAGAAGAGGGAGGTCATCAGTGGCATGACCCTCAAAAACCATGCAGGGCATTAAGGAAAAGCAGAGTACACTGGCACCGTGGCTGCCTGGAGCAGGGATGGGGTATGGAGCAGCACCAAATGACCCCAGCTGTCTCAGCCAGGAATGACTCTTCATGCCAGGGTTCTACACGCAGAGAATTTTGGCAAGAAAGCTCCTGGCAGTCTCACCGTGTCTCCTCAGGAGCTCTCCTCAGCAGCTCCAGAACATCTCTCTTCTTGGCACTGCGCAGCATCCGGATGAACCTCTGGAACTGCCAGGCAGTCGCCACCTTCGAGGGGTCTGTTTTGATTCCCCATCTGTCAAAAGCCTTCAGGTGGGCTCTCAGCTGCAAAGGTGAGGCTTGTCAGGTGGGGTTTAGCCTCTTTTCCCCCGTTATCATGGGATAATGTTTATACTTGGGAAATATTTAGGAGTGGGAAGTGCCTATGGGGGTCATGCAGCTGCTTGCAGGCATTGACTGCAGCCTCACACCCCCACTGCTGGGGACTCGTGCTGAAGCCCATACGCCCCAATTTGTGGGGAGTTCCAGGAAAAGAGCAGGAGAAACTGTAAGCGTCGTGTTGTTGCAATTCCAGATTTCCTAAGTGAAAAGCCTGGAGGATTTGGGGCGGCAGAAATAATCCCTTGTTTATCCTCTCCAGCCCGACCTGCAGTGGGAATATTTCCTGCCCTCAGAGCTGTGATGAGTTTAACCCAGCTGTGTGTGCTCCTGGGGCCACATCCTGCCCCTCCAAAAGCACCACTGTGTTTTAACCCCGAATCCTACAAGCGCCCGGGTTGGGGGGAGAGCATGTGGTGAGTTTTGGGGGTCAGTAGCATCACTGACCGACGGGCAGTTGGTGCAGACCCTCCTGAAGGGCAGGCTGGCCATGCCCAGGGGCTGGTGCCGTCCCTCTGTGCCAGCCAGCACATCCTCAAGGCTTTGTCCAGACACCTCTGCTGGACCAGGCATTGGAGGAGACAGTAGCTGGAGCTGCTGCCTGTGAAGGGAGAAGAAGCCATTGGGAAGCGCTCTGTGATTTACACCCTCTGTGGCTCACGGCTGGAGTCATCACTCACCTCGAACTGATCTTGATGCTGGAGCTGGACCTCAGGGCTGGAGCCAGCACATGGCTTTCCTCGGCCAGGGCCGACTGGAGGAGGTTGTCTTTCACCACATACTGGCTTCTGCTGCTGGGCTGCCACTCAACTCCAAAAACCTTGAAAAAGGAAAAGCAAGGAGGAAAAAATGCAACCATGGACTTTCATTACAGAGTGGTGTCACCTGGGCTCAGCCACAGCAGAGGGAACGGGGGATGCTCCTCCTGGAGACTGCAGACTGGGAATAAATGCCTCCCAAAGCATTGCTCTTCCTCCACGCCCATTCAACAGCGTCAGCTCCGACACAGCTGCATGGTGTGGGAAGAGGAATGGCCCCCAATTCCTGGGGAGCATCAGCAAGGACACTCCCCAGGCAAAAGGGAAAGCAACAGCAATTTCCACCAAGCCGATGCCAGAAACTGCTCAACTTCCTCGGCGTGCTGCGTGGTGACCCTGGGGAAGCTCTCTGGATTTCCTCCTTCCGAAAGGAACGACGCACTTGCTGGGCTTCACCTCTGCCTCGGGAGCGCCAGGAGATGGTGTTGGAGCAGCTGGGCCCACACGTGGCAGGGCTTGGGGAAGGGGAAGAGCTGGACTAGGTGCAAGTGGTGGTTTTAGGCAGCAAATGGCATTGGTGATGATATCACCCTGTGACTGTCCGGTGTTGAGACCCCTGCCAGGGCCCCTGGGCTCTCTGTGGTGTTGTCTGTTTTTATATTCAATTCAGTAGAGTTTATATATTTTAAAAAACCCTTCAATTTTGATCATGGCAGCTATAACTGCATGAAGATCTACGGGATTTAATCTGTTTTTGTCAGGGCTGAACATGGGCTACTGCTTTAAACAAAACAAACAGAGGCCTTTGGTCCTGTCAACCTAATTCCCAATCCAATGAGTCTGAGGAATACAAAACATCAACTGGGGGGTGGCCCTGATGTACTTGACACGACCTGAGCCCACCACAGGGAGAGTAATGAACTTGCTTTGTTTACAGAGGTGAATCCAGAGTTTGGTTTTGTGCAGCTGAGGAGATCTTTGGTCTTGGTGATGGAGTGGTTGGACACGGCATAGGTGACTTGGCAGCTCCCAGAGGCATCCTCCTGAAACACAAATGTGAGTGACCAGGGTGGGTAAGGGTGACCAGCTTTGATCACCCTCAGTAAAACAACCTGTGTAGAGGACAGACACAAAGGACAACCCAATAAATAGAAAAATCACCAAAAAGCTGGAAAAGTGGGCCGAATTTGGGGGGTGTTGGATAGTTCCAAATCCATCTGGCCATCTTTGCATTTCAGGCTGACACCAGCAGCAGCATCTTTGTGCCTGCATTTTGGGTTCTGAGATTACTCCACGTTGTTCACAGGTCACTCCAGCCTCGCTGAGCTCTGGAGGGAGGGATTTCTTAGCTGTTTGCTGGCTGCTGGCAAAGCAAATCCTGCTTGGCAGGAATGCTTGCAGAGTTTTTTCTCCACTATTCCTACTGTCCAGGGAAAAACTACTCTTTTGTGAGTGTGCCCATTCCTGAAAATCGTCTAGAGATTATTTTAAGTCGTCTGCCTTTCCAACAGTCATCCTTGCTCAGTGCCCAGCTGGAGCAGCAAAGCCTGTGCTGTTTATCCTGAATTTTGCCTCCTCTGCTGAAGCACCTGGACTGGCTGTGCTGCAGGGCCAGCTCTCCTGGTCCACCATGGTCCCTGGTTTTTGGGCAGGATCTGGCCCCAGCTCTGCACGTACCTCCACCGTGGTGCCGGCGTGGGGCTGCAGCTGGAGCAGACTGAGGATGCCTCGCTTCAAGTTGGAGATCAGGCTGCTTTCTGCTTCATTCCCGTAGAAAGCTTTGACCTGGGGGGCAAGAGGTGGTGCCTGGCTGAGGGGACATCTCTGGGGTCCCTGCAGGCTCTCTGCTGCCAAAAGGCCTCTCCCCTGCAACCTGAGCAGCACTCTGTAAACACCTGAAGAGTTTTCCCATGGAGGATTGCATCCCTCAATAGCAAGAGCTTTGTGGATGCATGTCCACAAAACTTCCCTTTCCTCCCCATCCTGGTCTTCCAAAGCCTCAGAGAGGAGAAGGTCAGAAAGGAGCTTGTATCCCATGGTTAGGACTGAAGAGCTTTTAACATGGGATGCTGCAGCCCCTTTGGAGGATGGGGCTCCATCTGGGATCACATGGGAGACCAGATAGTCCTACACTGGGCACTCTGTCCAGTTCCTTCTGCTCTGATATTAAATCAGAGGTGGAGCAACAGTTCCTACGGGCTTCATAGCTGGGAAAGTTTGGGATGTGCGCAGGAGCGCGTTGCAGAGGGCACGGACAAGCCCGGGAGGTGTCCAGCTAACCTTCCCACTGTTCCAGGAGATGAACACCGGCTTCTGGAGCTCTGCCTTTGCCTCCTGGCTCAGTTCAATCTCTGCAGGGGGACCTCCAGGGCCATCCTGGCTCCTCTCCTCGTCTGGCTTGTGCTGGGCTCTCAGGTCACGGATCTATGACAGCAGAAGATGGCAGAGAGCAGTGACCAAGCGTGTCACACTAAGGCTGGTGTGTGTTTTACCTGCAGGCAATGGATTTTGTCAGAGAGGATGTTTTCCAGATGACTTGGGCTAGAAAGGGAAGAGGGCTACACCTCCTGGGGTGCTCCCAGGAGGAGAATTCCAGCTGTGATGTCTTTCCCAGCCCGCACACCTGCACCTGGAGCAGCTCTTCCCCGCTTTGGTCCCTCCAGAGCCGGTGCACGTGGACCGACGCCTGAGCCCGCAGCCAGACTCCCCCAGGGGATGGCGGGGCCATGTGGTCCAGCTGGACATCCAGGGTGTAGTGGTACTGATACAGTGTCCTGGGCTGGAAAGAAAGTGGCTGCAAATCCCCTGCGGAAAGATGCAAGGGAAGGATGTTGAAGGGAAGCCGGCACAAAACTCAATCCTCCCCTTGCTGCACCCAGCAACTCCCATCCTAGAGGGGCCCCAGACCTGTAGGGATGCTTGAGACCTGCATCACTGCCTCCAGAAGGGCCACTTCTATGCTGATGTGGAAGTATAGCCCACGGAAAGGTTTCCATGGGAAATCGTCTGTGCCTGCTTTTGGATATTAGGGTGTTCTTGGGGTGTCACCTTAGGCTTCCAGTTCTGCCTTAGAAGTGATGGCCAGAGTGGGAGCTCTGCTTGGGCACTTGAGGACTTTCAGAGAGTGCCAGAGAGACACACTTTAATGCTAAAGTCAAGTTTTCTGAGCATGCCCACAGACAAGAGGGATATCTCACAGTGCCTGTTCAACATTAACTGGGGCACAAAAAACATTTGTAGGGGAGAAGAGAGGCCATATTCTTCATATTATGTGTTACCCATGAGAACTTAATTAAATCACTGACTTTATGATAAGGCAAAATGAAGTTGATGGGGCAGCTTTAGATCCAAACTCCCCGCTTTAAACTTATTTATCTAGAATTATTTGGAGTCCCTTCTCTTGTTTGTATACAAATATGATTGTAGCATGTGTGAGGTGGGGGGTTGCCTTTGCCATGACAAAGCCAGTCAAACCTGTTTTCTGAAGTGACTTAAAATTCTCCTGCAAATCTGATGCACTTGCTGGGCTTCTGAAATGTTTGCTTTTGTTATAACAACAAAAGACAGGAATCAATGGAAATCCAGCTCATTCCCTGGGGCTTTCCTGAGTGAGACAGGCTGAAGAGTTTTTATAGTTCTGCATTGTGTGCAGTTTATACAGTTCCAGCTCTCTGGTTTTCCTCATCCCCCAGGGAGGACTTCCAGGATCCCAAAGATATCCCCGCCTCAGGAGATGCTCAGGCTGTGTGCAGTTTGGCAATCACTCCTGCCTACCCAGCTGGAGTCTGGGGAGATTTTGGATTATGTGGAGCCAGGGAGGCTCTTTGCGCCCTGGGATGAGCATCTCATCCCTCTGGGCATCCAAACCCCATCCTGCCCCTGGACCCAAATCAGCCCAAAGTCTCTTACCTTTTGCTGTTCTCGTGAAGGAAAAGCAAAGCAGGCAAAAGCATTCCAAAACTGCCTGCGGACTCATGGCGGGCTCTGGGAGCTGGGCGGGAGACAGGGAGGGAGGGGGGGGGAGAGAGGGACTATACAACAAAAGTGGGCAAGATTAGCAGTGTCAGGCCATGGGGCCCAACCTTCTCCCTGTCCCCGCCTTACACACCCAAGGAAAAGCAAATAATTAAACCTTTGTACCAACCCCCAGCAGCCACGGAGGGTTTGGAAATCAGCTGAGCTTTGCCAAAGACCGGCGGGAGGGGAGGAAAGCTGGAAAAAAGAGCTGCCAGAAGCAGTGTGGGGTGGGGAAATTGCCAGTTTGCCTTGATACGGGAGGGGAGTGCTCAGAAAGCTGCTCTGTCCCTTGGTGATCCATGTCTTCCCACCAACAGAGAAAGGGGGAGAGACAGTTTCTTTCAAAAGCAAAAAAGACCCAGGGGGAAGGGGGAAAATGCTTTTCCATCCTTTTAGTTCGAGACTGGGATTTGCAGCCCGGAGGGTCAAGTTACTTAAAGGGCCAGGCTGGAGGGAATGGGGAGAGCCTGGGATGGGCTGTACCATGAGCATCGTTACCCCCCAAAAGAAGGTGGGAAAGGGGTTAGGAGATGGGTGCTGTGCTGGGTGTGCTAAACACACTGCCTGGAGAGGAAAGGCAAACAGAAATAGCCTGTGGAAAAAACCAAAACCTGCTGATAAGGAGGTCTCCAGCTGGAACTGAACTGTGGCAGGTTGCTTGTTTAGGCTTGGCTGCTGAGTCCTTCCAGGACTGGGGTGTGGGAAGGTGGCAAGTTGCAACCCACTTTCCCATGGGCATCTCTGGACTGCTGATTGCTACCCACTGGGAAGTTTGAGAGGTGAAACCACGGAATGGTCACTTAGAAGAGTTTTCCCAGTGGTCCCAAGAAAGAGAGTTTATCCACTGCCTGAGCTACCAGGGATGAGCTCTGGAGCTCTCACAGGAGAAATCTGCATGTGGGGGTGTCTTGCTGTCACTGCATGATCTCTGTTATAATCTTATCCTCATGACAGGATAGCAAAGGGCAGGGAAAGTCATCTGGGATGGAATTTGTCTCTAGGTTCCCACATCAGGGCTCTAGACTAAACCAACCATCTCAGATCCTTCTAAAGGCAGCAGAAAGGGAGAGGTGTCTTTGGAGGATGCCACGTGCCCCAAGCTTGGGCACTGCCTTACTGTGCCACTAATCTCCCTCTGACGGTATTTATTTCACTCCATCAGTTATGCTGGAAATTTAATACCTAACTCAGACTTTGAAGTGTCACTTTGAAATGAATCCTGTTCTCTGATGTGCAGCTTTCTCAGTCAACTGTGCCGTTTTCTCTGCTCTGAGAGAAAACTCCTGTGGGTTTGTTAGAGCTGGAGGGGAGACCAGGAGGCACAAGGAGCTTCAGTGCCTGTTTTCATCTGCTTTCTCTTCCACCAAACCTGCTTCTTGCTTTTGTCTGGGAGAATCTGTGAAAGAGTAAAGCAGAATAAATCAGAGGGAGTTATAAAACTTTGTGAAGCATTCTTCCCAAACCCCTCTGTCATGCTCGTGGAAAGATGCCTTATGGAACTTTGAAAACCTATGGACAGATGCATGGTCCCAGAATCAATGCTCCTGGAATCTTGGGTGCTCCTCCAGCCCCTTGAGTATCACCCAAGGGACATGTGATCTCCCATTTCTACCCAGGCACAACCTGCCAGCGCAAATCCTCTTCTCATAAATTAAATCAATGTAATATGGTCAAAGATCATCACGTCCTTATTTGGACACTGTGCTGCTAATTCCCTTGAAAATGACTTGGTGGGAAGGTTTACAGACAGAATTGGGGTGCTGAGCCCCTCCCACTCTTATGCTCCAGGTGGTCCTTGTCCCACTGTTAGCTGCTGGATTGCCATGGGGGTGTCTGGCTGCAGGACCTGACGTGGCAGCTCCAGAATCCACGGGCAAAGCAGGGTGGTCAGTGTAACCAGGTCACCGTGCCCGGGTCAGGGAGGCACATGGGGACTTTGCCACCGAGGTGTGATGTCAGGGTGGACTTTGGCAAAGGGTGGTCAACGTGCCCCAGCTGAACCCAGGTGGAAGCAGGATGGAGGAAACAGGGGCTGTTGCATCAAAGCCTGCAAACCTCAAGCTATGGTTGTTTTCAGGGCATTTTCATGTCCAGATTGTCATAAAAAATGTCTAGTGGAAATAATGAGACTCAAACACTCCTTAGACAGGGGAATACCAGTACCAGTGGCCAATCCCTAAGGTGTTGTACCATCTCAGGGTTTAGCCAGCACTGCTCTTGACTAGCTGAGGAATTTCCAGCTCTGTTTCCAATATCTGATCACCTTGGGGCAGATGGGAGGGTGGAAGGAAAGGCTCCCTAAGGGTTCTGTTACTTTCTCTTTTTTTTTGTGGGTAGTCTTTAGTTAAGACTCCCACTCCAGCCTTTTATTATTCAGGAATTTTTGGGAAAGACCTGGAAGCAAGTAGAAAAAAACCCCTCACTGATTAAATGTGCAGCCAGAGGGGGAAGCAGGAGATAACTGAGTACAGAGCAGGCCCCATGGGGGTAAATCGTTATGGGGTGACTCAGTGAAAAAGAGCAAAGGCAAAGCAGCAAAGAAAAGAAAGGAGAGAGTCATTTTCCCAAGGGACAGTTGCTAACAGGACAATTGGCAGCAGGTCCTCTTAGCAGTGAGGATGATTCACCATGGAGCAAACTGCCAAGGGAATCAGGGGATACTCCATCCCTCACTGCCCTCTGAGCCAGGAGGATGGCTTTGCTGGAAGACATTCAACAACACAAAACAAGCAGTTGAAATTCTTCAGCTCTGCTCAACACAGCAGATGATGTGTTATAACAACCTGTAGTGGCTTTACGTTCTGTTCAGTGCCACCCATCTTTTCTACCATGAACCACAAGCTTGTGAAAGCAGGTCTGCCTGTCTATCTGTCACAGCCACTTCAGCTCCGGGGCTTTTCCACTCATTCCAATTTCTTCTCCTCCCCATGAGCTCTTGGTGCTGGAAGGGGAGGATGGCTTGTTCTCTGCTGAGTGTTGTGCCGTGCTTTGCTCCTCATTTTCAGACGTCTCTCCTTCCAGCTCCTACTCAAGTCTCATAATTCCTGCCCCGTATCAGCTTTTCCGTGCCTTGTGATCCTCTGTGGTTTTCTCCCATGTCCTCTTTGCTCTTCATCTGCAGCTGCTGATGGATCCTGGTCCGGCCTGCGGGGTGTCGGGGTCGGGACCGTGTCAGCTCAGCTGTGTGCTGAGACAGGACCGGGCTTGTGATCCAAGAAGGGGGAAACGGCTGCGTCAAACCAGCTCTTGGTTTGGCCCCAGCCCCTTGGTTTTTGCTGCTGGAGGGCTTGGCTTTGAGTGGTGAAAGCAGGTTTCCAGGGCCACGGGGAAGGGGTTTGCAGGCTCCGGAGCACACGAGCCTGTACATGATAAAGGGATGCATCTGCTGACAATTTAACGAACTTTTTTTCTCCTCTGTTACTTTCTTCCCCTCTAAGTGACCTTCAGGTGCAAAGCCTGCCTATTATGCCCCCCCCAGCATCTTTACCACCTCCCCTTTTGCCACTGCAGTGGTAGGGAAAGCACTGACCCTGTCAACAAGCTGCATCAATCCTTCCCTCCAAGAGAAAAACTGAAGGGACGTGAGCAGTTCCCACATAATTGTACTGGTGGCACTTAAAACTCTCTAAAATCCCTGAATGGAGAGATTCCCCCTAATTTTTCAACCTTCTGCCTTTGCTGTCCTCTAAATTTTATTTCAAGCTTTATTAGAGCAATTAGAGGTGAATACAACCACGCAGGAGTTTTGTTTCTTTGTTCAGGTGTGCCTGATGGGTCCTTCCTCAGTGCTGTTCTAATTTGTGTGCTTTCAAACGTGTGCAGGCTCTCTTCCTGCTAAAATCCATGCTTTTGTGCAGAGGGAGCCTTCCCTCCAGTCCCTGTTAGATGGGTAGGAACAGTGTGGTCCGGGTGCCCTGGGGCTGTATGGGACATACTGGTCAAGAGGACCCAGGTGTGACCTGAGGGCCCTAATGGGCTTTAGGGGCCCTAAGGAGCCTCACTTGCTGTCTCCAGCTACACCCCTGGGCTCAGGAGCATATTTAAGCTCAGCCTCCAGGCCAGATGGGTTTTTCAGCCTGTGCTGTCTCCTCTGTTTGCTCCATAGCTGCTGCTCCTGGATGGATCTGAAGCTCCTTTGTGCCACTGCTGAGTTGGAAGGTGCTGATGGAGTGGGGACCCAGCCTCCAACGCTTCTGGAGAGACCGTGGTGGTGAGGGCACTGCCTGTACTGGCTCACCCTGACTCATCCCCCTGCACTGTGTGGGACCATGGATCATCCCAGGAGCTCTTATCACTCCCAAAACATCTGCCTCTTCCCGTGGCACGTGTCTCTGAGGTAGGTGGGATGTATTCTGTGATACTTTGCTGTGCAACAGTTTTTGTTGGGAAGGTATCTTGAGCACCTGAGCTTTGACTCTGCCCCTAGAGCTCATCATATAAATGTCATGAGATAACAGGTGTAATACTGTGCAAATATTCTTTTTTTTTTCTGTAAAGCAAACAGTTTAGGAGATGACACATATTCCTGCAAAGCAGCCTATCACCAGGGAAGTATATGGTGCTGCTGTTACCTGTTTAAAAAACAAACAATATTAAGAAAAAGGTTGAATATGCTCAGTAAATATTGGGCTTTGAAAGGTTTGAAGCTATTTTATTTGTGAGTCTTATTTTTTTATACACAGGTCCGGTCTTGGCCCAGCCCTTTTAAAGATAGCTCACCTAAGCTGAGTTTGGCAGCCAGAAATGCTCTCTTCCTAGCCTGATTTTTAGGCAATTTCTTAGGAATTTGCTATGAAAACACAGAGATTGCACTGTCTGTGTGGAGGAAAACAGTGCACACCAGGGATGAGATGTGTAAAAAGAGCTACTCCCCACCAGCCCTTCGGAGAGGCTCATGAGCCCCCATTTGCAAGACACTGTCTGTGCCCTTTGTGTTTTATTGTGTGGAGGTTGCCAGGCTGCATTTTCCAGGGCAGCAGCAGAGCCAGCCTCCTTTTTGTC